CAAAGTTAAGTAATTGGACAGTAACTATAAATCAAAATTAACCACAAATTTTTCTAATCCGTTCAAATAATCGTTCGGTTTCTGAAGATATATAATTTTTTATAAACAATTTTATTGGCAACCATTTTGACTGCTGTGGAGTACGATTACTTCGGGTAATCTTCCAATGTTGCTCTTTCTAAACACCAAATGCAAAACACTCAGCAACCGCCTCCCGAACATAATGAGGACTTTTAAAATAAAATAGTGTTGACATTTGTTTGTTCGGATACAGCAGTTATTTTGTTGTTCAAAAGTAGTCTGGCTTAAACCCATTATTATTGTTTTTCTGAAAACAACATTTAATTGCTAGTTGAGGAAAGGGCAATTTTTACCAGGGGATTAGGCTGGTACGTCTTTGGTTTTGGAAAGTGCTAGCAACCATTGGCCAATATTAACAGAATATCCCAGCCAAAACAAGGGAATTAACTGTGGCTATTTTAGCTATGGCTATTTTGAAACATCAAAAAGTATTTTCAGAATCATTGGAATATTTAAAATTGTGTAGAACAATCGGAACGGCTTCATAAATCCAAAAGAAGAAACAACAATTGGAGACGTCGGTACCATAATCAATCGAACTCGAAATAAACGGAAAGGGATGAGCTTTGTACTTCCTTATGAATGTTGTTACTACGTTGTTTGTTATCAACATATTCGAAAGGGTTAAAAACAGGTTCATTAAAATTGTCTAAAACTTGGTCTGGTGCCTAAACAATGGTTGGCCCATCTTTTTCACTTGTTTTAACAAAACATTTAATGGGCGTCGATGTCCACATTTCCGTACTTGAGTCCGGAATATTCCCTGCAACTGTGTCAATAGATATTTTCCTGGAGCTATATTTGCCATGTATTTTCTTTTTTAAAATTCCCAATTTCTTTTTATTGAACGGTGCCATTGCAAAAACATCTAGTTCGTCTTGGTCTTTGCAATTAACTACAATTGTAAGAGCGTTACTTTCTTCAAATGTATTTATGTTGGTATCGATGTGAGCGTTTGGTATAGATTTGGAAGCAGAGTCTGTCTCCTCTGAGCCATAGTCTAATTCGTCATCCAAAAGTAGAGGTTTATCGCCAAACGCATTGAGGAATTCTGAAGGATGTTCATCTTGTTCACAGCACAAGTCCGAAAGAGCAGATGCAACAGCTAAAGCTTCATTTGCGGAAGCAGCACAAGAGTTTCTGTCTTTTTTTCGCATACGCACTTTTACCACTACGCGGCTACTATCATCTTCGTGTGTCGTTACCGATTCACATTCGGCATGGTATGCGGATGAGCTGCAAGTCTTCACGCTTTCGCTTACGCCGTCCAAATCGGGTCGTTTTAATTTACAATTATTTCGGGATATATGACTTACATGATTCTCATCGAAGAAGTCATCTTCTGTCCTTAGATCGGAAGCGGAACCAATGGAGTCAGCGTCATCATTACATTTACTTATATCATCGACAATAGTTTCCATCATTTCGGCTTGATTTTGTTGTTTTTCATGTTCTTCCAAAACTTCATTTACTTTCTGAGCAACTTTGTGATCTGCTGTTGACGGTCTCTTTGTTGTTGTTTTCTCTTTTAGTTTTTTACAATCGGGACTTTGATGTGCGTTTTGCCTACTTTACGATATGCTGTCAGATGAATTTTATCTGAAATACTGTTTGTGTTTAATTTTGTTTAAATATCGCTTTTTTGAAAGTATAGCAAATAACAGTGCAAATTTTAATTCTTCAAAAACGATTGTATTCGCTTTGATATAAATCACAACATATATGTTACCAAATACTTCATGATATTATTATATTCAAATCAACAAAGTATTCCCCAGTTCTTTTCAAGTTTCGCATATTGCAATATTTATCAAAATAAGTCAAATAAAAAATGAAATGAAATCTATCTAGGCAATGCTAAAAATGTGACAATTCAATGCAGATTTCCACACTCAATTTACTTTTCATGTAATATTTTTCAAAAGTATTAAAAAACTGCGTGGTATTCTTAAGGGCGTTCTTAATCCAAATAATAATGCTGCATCTGCAACCTAAGAACGTTTTTTAACGTGTACGATTATTTGGGAATGACAAATTGTATAGTCCAATACAACAATCAAAGTTAAGTAATTGGACAGTAACTATAAATCAAAATTAACCACAAATTTTTCTAATCCGTTCAAATAATCGTTCGGTTTCTGAAGATATATAATTTTTTATAAACAATTTTATTGGCAACCATTTTGACTGCTGTGGAGTACGATTACTTCGGGTAATCTTCCAATGTTGCTCTTTCTAAACACCAAATGCAAAACACTCAGCAACCGCCTCCCGAACATAATGAGGACTTTTAAAATAAAATAGTGTTGACATTTGTTTGTTCGGATACAGCAGTTATTTTGTTGTTCAAAAGTAGTCTGGCTTAAACCCATTATTATTGTTTTTCTGAAAACAACATTTAATTGCTAGTTGAGGAAAGGGCAATTTTTACCAGGGGATTAGGCTGGTACGTCTTTGGTTTTGGAAAGTGCTAGCAACCATTGGCCAATATTAACAGAATATCCCAGCCAAAAACAAGGGAATTAACTGTGGCTATTTTAGCTATGGCTATTTTGAAACATCAAAAAGTATTTTCAGAATCATTGGAATATTTAAAATTGTGTAGAACAATCGGAACGGCTTCATAAATCCAAAAGAAGAAACAACAATTGGAGACGTCGGTACCATAATCAATCGAACTCGAAATAAATGGATCAGCAATGTCCTGTCCAACGTTATTTATGAATACAGTCATAAAATATCGTATATTAAATGCATGGCGTAAACAACGTTTTAATAGGGAACGACTCGGGATTTTTTTAAAAGTTATTACTGCGTCTAAACAATGGACTATGTACGGATTATATATCTTGTTAGACATTTTTTCAAAAAATATTACTAATTATTTTAAATTTCAGAAATTACAAACAAAGATCCAAACTGAATTCTAACCCATCATACATCCCTCACAAAAATGATCAAATAACCATATGTGATTGCAGCGAATAAACCTTATTCCTGTCAAATCATTGGGAATATGTAACGAAAATGTTATTTTTTAGTTTTTAATTCAGGATAGCACAACAATTTGGAGCCAACATTGTTTTAAAATCTTACCAATTTTTTTTTTTCAAATACTTTAGTTTACTTTATAATATGTGCCAAGTATACATATATATGGAGCAAAACTTTTACAATAATATAACGTTTTAAAAATGTGCGAGGGATTTGAGCTAATACAATATACATTTACTACAATACACCATTATGTTATAGTTTGATGGTGACGTTAAATCAAAGTTGGTGTTTTACAAAAAGGATGTGCCTGAGGATGATTGTTGATGGCAATCGAACGAAAGTACAAGTAATAGCTTCTACAAATGAACTAAAATTACTGCCATCATTATCAAAAAACAATAAATACTTGCAGCAAAGAAACTGCATTTCTGTTAAATTATTGAAAAAACACACCAACTATTATCGTTATTAAATATTAATTACGGCTTTAAAACTGTTTAAGTTCAAGTCGAATGAAAAACCATATAGAACTTTATTCTAGTCAGAACATAATTTGTATGATCCAAAATTCAAACTAATTAGATAAACGAAGCGCGTTTAGTGTTCTATTTATATATTAAACTAAAATGAAATAAATATGGGAGCTACGTCTAAAACTAAACCGATTTTGATAACTTGTAAATGTTATTTCTAGGCTGTATCTCATATCTTTTACTGAATATATTTGTTATGGAGTGAATATTACCAATTGTGAAACAGATGGATCGTATATATTTAAGAGCTGATACTACAAAGTTGATACATTAAAATGGTAAGATTTAACGAAGGTATATGTTGGGGCTATATTCAAACCTAAACCCAATACTAATATGGCTTGTATTTGGACAATACAAATGATGCAAAGTTGTATCTCAAATGGACAATAAATGCAAACTTTATTTGCAAAAACGTGGACAGACTAACGAAAATGCATAAATAGACTATATTGGAACAATAGATCTATATTGTCTACAACAGAGTAAGCCCAGAGGCACGTATTTAGTAAATTTAATGACACACAAAAAAACATGGACAAGGTGGAGAACCTGTTGCTTTTTCCACGATTTTCAAATGGTCCCTTGAAGTGTTGCAATATCTGTACTTGCAGCTGTCAACTATACATCTAGTGAAAGAATGTGAATGCATTAAAATTACACATTTTAGGAATATTTTCTGCATATTGTGCTTAAAATTCTCATTCCAAGAATTTACATTTTTTAAATGAAATTGATAAACTGAAAATTGATTTTATTTAACTTTTTTGGACTTATAATTCTGACCTAGTATTATGTACAAAAACAAATTTGTATGTTGTTATTGTAACTTTTGTTGCCCAACAATATTTGCTGTAACCATAGTATTCAGGCATATTAATCTACCACTGATCAAAATAAAATCTAATGAAAAGATTTTATGCAAATATGATCAAAAGCAAATTATTTCAACTTCAATGAATATTATTATATTCCATTAGAAAAAAAGAATACACTAAGTTTTATTAAGCAAAATATCAGAATACAGATGCACGAATACTGCATTAACTATCGGCATCTTCCAATTAATAATAATTTATATGGTGCTTTTGTTGTTTTGCAAAACAGGAACTTTTCACTTTTTCAATTGTCATCTTAGCTATGAAATTTTCTCAATGAATTTTAGGCCAACACTGTTCATATTATGTTTTGCGATACTAATTGAATTGACCTTATAGCAATTATCACTTGTGTTTTTGCAGAATCTGGCAAACGAAATTTTCTTTTTGGAATGCCATTCATGAAAAGATTCGAGACTTCCTTGATTTTTTGTAAGATTTTTATCGACATTTTACGCAAATATGATCAAAAACACACTAACTCAACTTGAATGAAATTTAAAACATTCCATTATCAAAAAAATAGAATACGATAAGTTTTATTACACATTATATTAGAATACAGAAATATGATTACTGCATTCACTATTGGCATCATCCAATCGACAATACGTTATAATATTCTTTCTTATTTTGCAAAACAGGAACGGTATATAAATGTATCCTGTTTGATACGCACTTTGCAATTGTTTTAATGGTCGTCTTGGCTATTCTTTTTCTTTTCATGTTTGCGTCCAACTAAGTCATATTTGCAGTTATCATCACACCCATGAGGCTCATCTTCACTACCACTACTTATTTCAGAATCACTTGACTCGTTATATGGTCCTAAGCCTGGCAATATTGCCACACACTTCAAATGACCAACATCTAGCTCATTTGTTTTGATGTTTTTAAGACTTTTTGGTATCTCTTCATTTTTTTTCGACATGGTATCTTCATTTGTCATTGGTTTTATGTGTTTATTTTCGGAAGCTCCGCAAGAGTTTGTACTTTCGCCATTTTTGCGTTTAATACCAATTCCAAGCAGAGATTTTTGTGACGGTCTAGCAGCGGATGATTGGACTCGAAGTTTAGTTTTTAGTTCGGTCTGTATTTTCTGCAATACTCTAACATATAAACAAACGAAGAAGCATATGTGAGGGCAATAAATACCTTGTTCTCCGTCTCCTCTTGTAGGGTCGTAACTCTGTTTCTAAAATCATTAAGCTCCCTCTCTTCTTCGAGGAGTTTTTCTTTTTCAATACCCATTTTATTTTTGTCAACCAACTCAAGAAAACTAACTTCGTCTTCGTCAAGCCCTCGTATGAGATTTTCTGAAAGCATTTTGTATTTAAAATAGGTACTAACTTTAACGAAAACACACTTACTCAATTTATGCGTTTCTTCGTATTCCAAATCTTTTTTCATTTTCTGCTCCTTTAATCGGTCATAAAGTGAACGACTGTCATATTCTTCAGGGCGCTCTAATAAACAAATACCATTTGTAACAGCCTTGAACATGTAATAAAAATATTTTACCTAGTGGTTGATCGGCTGTGCGAACCTTTTCCCATTCCTCCTGGCGTCGCTTTCTAGCCTCCGCCAATTCCGATTCAGTAATAAACCCCGAACTCATAATATTCCACAATATCAATGTTCCCAAGCTTTGAACGCTCCAGAGCACCTATACTCGATGTAACCTAAATCAACAAATTATGCGTTTTAGTGGGGGTTATTTGTAACACTTTTTTATTTTATTCGATTTTACGGCAGTCACAAGATTGGCTGCGAAATGCGTTATTTGGAAATTCGTTGTGTATTCAATATTCCAACCGTTATTGAGATATACGACGTATATTGAACAAATTGTAATGCATAAATTTGCTTCTTTCGTATCGCAGGTATATTAATCGAAAAACGCTTTTATATTTCTCATTCTCACAATTTATTGGTAGCGAAAACTTATTTTAGTAAACTAACAAACGACGATATACGACGCATTCACTTTTGGTTGGCTTGACTTTGACTTTTGGCTGTCATTCCAATCACAATAATGCATAATCAGCTGTCTTGAAAGGGGTAGGTACTGCTGTCGATAGTAGACGCTTGGATCCAGCCATCATATTGGCATGCATGCTTGCCTAAAAAATGTTTTTCGCAGACTTTCGTGCCACCATTACAGCTTATTCCATACAGATTTTTCAACATTGGTTTCCATGAATTTTTACAGCATGGAAAATATGTTTGCTGTTGCCATTTCTTGAATTTTCGCACACTGGTATGCAGCAAAATCTTGGAGATGGCATTCCTTTGAAAATGAAATACAACGCAAAGCTTAGTAAGAACCCAAGGAACGCCTATCGTCATGATTGTGTGTTATTAACAAAGCACTGCCTCGCCGCCAATTTAACACATGATAGCATGGCCAAGCCCCTTTCCAAGACAACTGCGTCAATCAAACTGTATTGGCTGAAATCACAGAACAAAAGATGGCCCTTGACATATTTCATCGCAAAATATTAAAATATGCATTTGCTGTTCATTCAAAACAAACACTAAAATGTATATGGATTGACAGAATATGGACCATTGTACCATGTCATCCCATATCATGGGATATGGGGCACTAAAAAAAGTAAAAGAAGAGAAGTAGCTTTGTTCTACCTTCTGTAATTGCGTCATGGCTGCGTCGTACATTGATTTCATTCACTGCACCATGTATTGATTTAGAAAGTATAAAGTATACGGTTCCCCTTCCAAGCCTTCCGACTACCAAATGTAATGTCAAAATGCAATTATTGTAGTTATTGTGATTGAACTGAAAATTTTTCTCCGATATCATTCATAAAGGGAAAATCGGTTATCGTAGTTTGAACAGGTGTCAATGAACTGATTTCAAAACAACAACCAACTTCAACATCGTATAGAAGCAGTTGTCAGCTGTCAATATTGATGCACCATGGTCAAAATAGTATTTAGAATCATCCATGACGTTCAAGGCCCATTAAAAAAATTTAAAATGCGTTTAGATGGCAGTATAACTACAATTGAGACCATAATGTCAACAACAAACTTCAACATCGTATAGAAGCAGTTGTCAGCTGTCAATATTGATGCACCATGGTCAAAACAGTATTTGGAATCATCCATGATGTTCAAGGCCCATTAAAAACTTTAAAATTGCGCTTAGATCACACTATAACTACAATTGAGATCATAATGTCAAAGTGTTATAATTTAAATAATTTAATTATGAAATTCATTACAATTTGGGTAAAATCGGCTATTCGTGACGGATACATATTCAGGATACATATTCAATAGAAATCTTTCCTCCTGTCTTTAATTAAAATTTAAACCTAGGCCACTCAGTAGAAAATGAAATGATTAATTTTCAGACAGTTCCGAATAAAATTGTCAAAATACCGAATATCGGGAGGTCCCGTTATATGGGGCTATATACACTATATACACCAGTGGGTAAAATACTCAGAAAGAACATCTCCACTATACGATACCGTGGATATATCGGATAAATGATTCTAGCGTGATTACCCCAGACCGACAGACGAACGGACATGGCAAAATCAAATAGATATATTATATAATATCCGATATATCCCCATCTTCACAGCAGATCTTGCATTAGCATCAGGATCCAGGAGGGACATGAAGGAATGGTCCGATCTCCACCATCTTACAAATGACGCCACTCCACTTTATCCTTGGTTGTCCAAGGTGTATGCATACTTTACTTACCTGTTTTTTTTTTAAATAATCCTGTCCAACAAATATGTCCAATCCAATTCTTATCCAATTCCTTGATTGTTTTATTGGTTTTATCGGTTTCCCCTCCTTTTTTAAATCTTATTGGTTTCTAGTCGGAACTAGTCGTTTTTTAAATTCAATGGGTGCTTCACAAAAAGGGCTATGTAAGTCGACTATTGGTTGCGAGAGAATAAGAAGGAACCATATTATAGCGGACTTACACCACCATTTACATCTTTACTCTGTTCCAAAATCTGCCAGAAGCTACTACTTTCAAAATTGTTTTCAATTACTATGTTCCAGTACCTGCAAGAATCTACTACTTTTGCAATTTCTTTCGATATGATAAAGGGATATTAATAGCGTTAAAAACTAAGAACAGTTAGGGATAGATAAGTCGACTTCCGATTAATCGAATAATCTACTTTTAGTACTAAAAGATCTGAAACTCGAACTCGACTATGAACTTGGATGAAAACCGAGTACTCGACTATTCATAGTCGATTGTTCGACTTATGCTTTGTTTTCATTGCAATTTCAATCACGTTGTTCGATCTCAAAATTAGGTACACGAATTAACCCGTTCATACGACACGATTCGTAATTCATAGGCACTTTCTTATATCTTCTTTTGTTATCCCTTACTTTAGGAAAAGTGAAGGATAAAGGTTACATTATCGGATTATCATTATTACATCTACCATTTAAAGTATATGCATTTCTTACAGAGATATGGCAAGCTTTCTGTAAAAGTAACTGGTAGTCACAGCAGTTTTTTCACAATGACATCTTCATTTTAGGTTGAAAATAATAAACAAAACGAATTTGTTATTAATTTCGTGAAATAAATTTATATTTCAGTTCTTCAATATAAAATAAATGATTTGCGTTATCCATTTCTTTATCTTAATATATTTTGCTGTTATTGTCATATTATCAATATAACATATGGCAACATGAGATCAGTAAACTTTACGTTAAAAGATAAAGGAAGATGGTCTGGCCTTTTGCTTGTCGGTCAGTTTTTATTTAAATGAGACTTGTAATAACGAAAAACGATTTATGTGTCCGACAACATCACTTTTTTATCTGTCGGAAAGATGTAATAACCGGCCATAGTAACATATTTCTTTTTTCAAATTTTTTTTTGTTGATTTTTATAGGAATTTGTACGAAAGTACATGAAATTAGCATTAATAATAATAGAAGAAATTATTGTTTTTCCTCGAAATATTTACGTATCTTCCATTTAACAATTTTTATTCATGTTTTGATCTTTTTATATAAATGGTGACATTTTGTTTTTTTTTTGTATTTTCCTGTTTTAAAACACTGTTGGAGTCACTTGTCAAAAAAAAAATTTGTCGATACAAAAATTTTCAAAATATTAACCCTTTATGTCCAGTTTTCTGTCGAAATTCCAACTCGTTGAAATAAAGCATAGCTCGGATGAGGGAGAAAACAAGATTTTCTTTCGATTGAATGCACAAGCTCCATTCAACATTAGTTGTGTTCCAGTACTTTTTTAGTAGTAAAACTAGCAGAAGAGAGAACAATTCGAAATGTAATTCTCATTTAGATTTGCTCAAAAAATAAGGGAACAGAAAATTAGCAGAAATGCGATAAAATGTCAAAATACAAAATTTCAAAAGTAAACAGCCTAAATCGGACTGGTGAAACCTTACTGAAAAGAGCGCCAACATTTAAAAAATGAGTATTGAAGACGATAAGTTAAAATTAATAATTTATAATAACAATTAATAATCTGATTCCTCATTCAGCCAGTCCTCTTCACTGCTGGAATCATCCAAAAGTGAATACATCAGTTGCTCCATATTTTCTCTTTTTGTTTTTTGCACGACAAATATTAATTTTTCCTGTAGTTTTCAAGTTGATCATTTTCTTTATTGAAATGTATCAATACATTTTTCAACCTTGTTAGCCCTGCCAATTAAATGTCAAATCTACAATATGCACATTTCTGCTCGGCCAAATTCATGTAGCTAAAACAAGCAGAAATGTGCACCACTCAGCGCCATTTTTTCTCGAGGAGAGCTGCAAGTTTTGCTAGTTTTTGGAGTACTGGAACGCGTTGTAGCAGAATTAGTGCTAATTAGTACTAATTTGCAGGTTCTGGAACACAACTATTAACTCCCAATTCATATTTTTCAGTCCTCCTGAAAAATTTTAAAATTTCATTAAATTTTTCTATTTTGAAATGTCATAATTAATTTTTTCTATAAAAGTGCTTATTTTTTAGGGTTGGCACACATTTCATTGTAGTTCCGAGAATGATTTGAATGCAACAAAGAACAAACATTTTTGTTCGGAGTTGCAGGGAAAATATATCGGGTACAATTAAATCAAGGTAACCTCATTTCAAATTATAATGCCCATCTCTACATTTTCTGTAATATACCTTGTCAAATTTCACTGCATAGAAAATAGATTCCCATCTCTGATTTGTGTATGTAATGCTATGTTTTCATTGCACTTTCAATCATGTTGTTTGCTCTCAGAATTAGGTACACGAATTATCCCTTTCATACGGCACGATTCGTAATTCATAGCAAAATTATTCCTTTATTCAAAAATATTGTTTGTTGATTTTAATGACAATTTATACTATGAATAGAAGAAATTATTGTTTTTCTCCCAAAGATTTATTGTATTATTAATTTTACAATTTTCATTAATGTTTTTAACATTTTGTAAAAATGTTGACATTTTAAACATATTTTTGTATTTTTCTATTTTTAAATTCTGCTGGAGAGACACTTGTGAAATATTTTTTCTGTCGATACAAACATTTTGAAAATATTGCCCCTTTTATTTCCAGTTTTCTGCGGAAATTTCAACTCGTGGAGAAAATGCGTACCTTGGATGAGAGAGAAAACTAAATTTGCTATCGTTTGAATGTACATACGCCATTCAACATTGTAGTTTTCATTCATAATTTTCAGTCTTCTCTAATTTTTTTAAAATTTCATAAAATGTTTCAATTTTGAATTTTTAAATGTCATAATTAATTTTTTCGATAATTGCTCTCAGTTGTTAGGGATGGCACACATTTCATCTTAGTTCTGAGAGTGATTTGAATGGAACAAAAAATCTTTGTTCGCTCAGCAAATTTTGTGCGGGGAATTAAGTAGATATTTCTTAAATAATGGCCGAACAAGGAATAGAGAGCGAATCACGTGCCATGTGAACTTAGCATAATATAGATTACTCAATAAACAATTGACAATGAGTTGTTGGCATGGTAGAAGAATACAGGTAGATGCATCAACGCATAGTAACATTGATATGTCAAAAAAATTTAAGTTTCTCTTCAAATATAAGTAGATTTCTATATGTTTTATTAAACGACGTCATTCGGAGATTATCATAGCATACATTTTCAATAATTCTTACAAATTCAAATCATTTTTCACTCAACATTTTGAATTCCAAATTTAGTTTGACAGTTTATTGTCCCAGCAGCTGTGTCGATGCGTCTACCTATATGGTTGTTGGCAAACGTACCATGGTTGTTGGCAAACGTATGATTTTGAAAAATTGAAAACATGATTGCATGACGTTACCTTCTTTGTTCTACCATGAGAAAATTCTTTGCAAGGACAATTTGTGTTTTATCCCGGAATGATTATTTTCTGAGTTAGTTTCAGCATTTTCAGTTAAATATGCACTATCCAAGACATACATAAGGTCGGCCAAGAAGACTACTATTGACAACAATTTGACAATAAACTTAGTAGTTTTCGGCTATTTCGATTTGACACTCTTCGAAATCACAATATGTCTTTTGATAGCAAACCTAATTGTCAGATGGGCTTACTGATCGACTTTATATCGACCATGACACTATCGATCCTGTCCCATTAAGTAGGTCGTGTAGGTAGCAACAAAATACAATTGTGATTGAAAACTGTTTGTGTATGTTTTCATGCGTTTAATTCGAAATTGCATGCAATTGAAATTTGTTCAGCAAGAATTTGCAAGCTCCCAGCGAAAGAACTGCCATTTTTTTAAATTGATATCGTTTGCCGAACTTTTGTGTTAACAGACGACTTCTAGTAAAAATTTCATTTTAGAAGAAAACAGATTAATGCATCAACGCCTGAGAACATTGATATGTTAAAAATTTTAAAACATTTTGTCAAAAATATGTTTATATTTTTCTTATACGACACAAGTCGGAGGTTGTTACGACTTGAATTTTTAACAATTTTTAAAAATTCCGATAATTTTTCTTTCAACAATATTAATTCCGGCAACTGTGTCGATGCGACTACATGCATTCTTGTACCATGAACAGTTTGCAACATTTGTTACAAATTTTAGGGTAACTAGACACACATATGATTGTAAACATGGTACAATAAAAAGGTAAGGTAGAGTTTCCTCCTGATTACAATTTTTTCTAAGGGTACCCGACTTCTGCCAATTTTGTGTATGTATTTGTTGTTTTGAAAAATAAAAATAAAATATTTTCAAAATCAATTATTGGAAAAAATTAAATTACGGGACGCGCATTAATAATATTAAACAGATTTGCCATGAAATTTAAATATTGAACACTCAGGATCATATTTTTGAGAGAACATTCAGGGATTTCATTCATCTTTCGCGCTATTTAACTCATTTTAAAAATAAGCAAATAATATCAAATAAATGAAAACAACTTGTTGCCTATTATGTTGAATAATTCTGACAGGAAGTGGGTATAGTCTTAGGGCTGTATTTCTATAGTTATACGAAGCTTTTCTACCTCCTTATTGTACCATGATTGTAAATGGTAACTTTGATAGTTCTACTTTTTAAAATGTTTTTTTTTTTTTTCAGAAATAAGTAGATTTTTATATGTTCCCTTATGCGACGCCAATCGGAGGTTATTATGATATGAATTTTCCAACTTTATTGAATTTGATTAATTTTGGATCAAAAATTTTCAAAATTTCAAAATAGGTTTGACAGTCCATTGTCCCATTAGCTATGTCGATGCGACTACCTGTATTCTTCTACCATGGATATTACAGGCAAAATCAGCTGGTCTTACCAGACGACCAATAGATATGCCATGGCAGAAGAATACAGGTAGATGCATCAACTCTTGGGTGCATGGATATGTCAAAAAAATATGTAAATGTTTTTTCAAATATAAGTAGATTTTTATATGTTTTCTTATACTACGTTAGTCGGAGGCTATTATAATTCACGTTTTTCAACAATTTTTACAAATTTAAATAATTTTTCATTCAACATTTTCAATTCCAAAATTGGTTTGACAGTTCATTGTCCCAGCAGCTGTGTCGACGCTTCTACCTATATTCTTCTACCATGAGATATGCCATGCAATAGGTGGTTCGTGCATATACAGTAAAGTTTTTATTGACTGTCAATGAAATAATTTCAAATATATGATTGTATAATTTACAACATATGATTGTATTATGTTACCTTGATATTCCAACAATGAAAATGTAACGGAACACAGCATTGCTTTGTGATAGAGAAGTGATTTTATCGACATGTCGCTCCCAATGTGTTTTAGCATTTTTCTCATTTGATTTCTAAATCAATACAGCTGTTTCAAAAGATAATGACGAACTTGTCAAACAGGTGTGCAAAACGTCTGGCCACTCAGCGAAAAGTTATCTATAATTTACGCTTACAACTCAATGATAGCAGTTGAGCATTTAGTCGTACTTGAACCTACACTGTGAGACGACGTGTGAAAGTGATCCGTGCGTGTATTCCTACGTTTTCACGAATTCAGTAATTGGACTTTAATTTAGCGTTGGTCGTCGTTATATTGTTATCACTTTACGGCAGATTAATTAACTATGAATTAGGGTAGACGTGGTGTGCCTGATCCAAGAACACTTGCTAAACGAATAAAAATCAACATTTCCTAATTGCATTTGCAACTTCGGATTAACCAATTATAGGCAACAGGTATGTTTTCGTGAATTTATACACTTTATATAAGAAACCATATAAAACAACGAAGATTGCAAAGTGTAAAGCTTTTAGTTCAATGTAAACATACATACAAACATGTATATACGGGTACGCAGTATTAATTTTTCCACAAACGTTTGTGTTTCATTTTGTTTCGTGTATTCGACGGTCAAGGTTAGGATGACCAGTTTAAAGTTCGCTCAGACCCCGTTTCCTCAGGCAAGATGAATAGAGCAAATCGAAGTATTCATTCGTAAATGCGGACGTGTGTTTTGCTAGCTGTATGTATATTATGTATTAAAATGCATATCATTGTGTAGTTAACGTAGACGATCGTTACAGGGGTTTGTACAGAGAATTTTTGATTTCTACGACATTTGTGTGTAAAATAATAAAAAATATCTATTTGATGTTGCACACACAGCCTTTCTATTCGGCAACGATAACGACCGCACCACCAGCACTCGTTTGTAAATGGACGAAGGAAAAATTGTATTTTGTAAATATGTTAATATATTGTTTGTTCGTAGTGAATGCTTAAAATCCCCGATCTACAGCGAGTTTGATAGAAATGTCGTCAGCATTTACTTCCGTTGATTCGTGTTTTTTACAAAATGAAATAAGATAATAAATGTATTAAAATTTAGCCAAATCATGCTTACGCATGGACTAATATGCACAGACATCAACGTAAAGGCGGGCAAAACGTACGTTTCTCTGCATACATTTATTTGTTCTCGCTTGCCCGATTACTCTTACTTTGCTCACTTGAACGTACGATAATTTGACTTTTGATCAAGGAGGCAAATATACACATGTATAATCAAAATATTTAATTAGATATAGGTAGCACTTCGTCTGGTTTCCGAGTTCAGTATATAAGCCCTACAACAGTATCACTAACTCACACACGAAATTATTTAAAACAAAATATTATGTTTCTTAAATATTTCAAATTGAAATATATATTGAATTTATTTGGAAATTGACCTGTATACAGTGAAGTGAGCGAATATGTATATATACTCCGATAGAATTAAAGCTGAAGGTTAAATCTAGTTTGAGCTAAGCTTTAAGGTCAGTACATGCAACGATGAGTTTGTTATGCTGGCCGCAGTAAACTTTTTTGTGAAAACCTGGGCCTCAATTCTTGTTCTATGAAAATTTGAAATGAAAACTTTTATAAAGGAAAGTAATGTCAAATGAATAATTGTATAAAGAAAATATTTTTCATTTCATGTTTTCATAGAACAAGAATCCAGCCCCTGGACTGTATTTTTTATTTGATTTAAAATATAGTAAATTATTTCAACAATAGCACAGGCAATAAGATTGTTTAATTTCAATGGAAATAGGAACCTGCAGCTCTGTACTAGTCTTATGTTACATAGACTTTTAAAGAAATGTATCAAATAAGGGAAACATATAAAACATGAATAAAATTGGGGATAGTTTCCACAGAAATATTGTTTCTTCCCAAAATTGTGAACATTTCCATTAACAAGAATTTTCCATTAACGTCGAAAATATGAATCGTTTATAGCTGGATTTGAGATAATTTGAATTGTTTTCTTTATTATACAAAACAATACACATACATGCATGGTAAAACAGAAACGGAATTAAACTTCAAAGGAACTAGGAAAAATATAATGGGGAAAACCACAACCCTTAAATAGAATATTTGGGTTTCGGTTTAGATAGAATGTTTAGAGTCGGAGTCAAGATGGGAGGAAAATGAGATGTTGCCAAATGAATAACTTTGAAAAAATTGTAAACATATGATTGAATGAGTTTAATCTCTTCATTCTACCATGCCATAACCATTTTATTATTTTTTTTTTCATTCTTCTCATTTGAAGCTTGTAGAAACCAAATAAAGAAGGAAAAAGAATAAAAAACTAACAAATGTCAAAATGTATTTAATAATACTTGGCCATGGTATTATTCAATGCCATTTTTGACAATAGTTCGACAAAAAATATTCTGAAAACTAAAAATGTTTACTACGATAACCGATTTTTCCTTTAGGATATCAAAAGAGGCACAACTAGCTCCTGGGACAGAGTAAAACTTAAAACTTGGCCATAAAGTCAGTAAGCCCATCTGAGCTCAAATACCCAATACAAATTATATGTTAATTCCAATTATAAGCAGCAGGAAGTTTTATCATACATTTTTATTATACTATTGTACAAGTTCCGATACGCTCGAAAGGGCTTGTTTCGCTTCTGTCCAATTTCCCGCGACAGCCGGTTCTACGCACCGGATTGACTCGGATGAAAAATCCTTCGACCAGGTGCGTCAACCAAGCAACTACATGATCTGTGCTCTTTTAATGAAATAATTACTTTCCTTTTAATGTTAATATTTTTTCTGTGATCTTCCAAGGAATAAAAATTTGTCTAGATAAATAATCTATAATTTTAAGTAAAACTGTGTTGAGGACGATAATAGTAGCTATGTATATCGACCCTTACTTTTCATATATTAATCTGTAAATTTGAAAAATAATTTTTTAAGTTTGCAAATTTGTGTGAAAAGCGAGCTTTTACTTTTGCGTCGTTTTAGAATTGATTTGGATGCATTTTGGGAATAAGATGTATTTTTGTTTAGTAAACATTGGCACAAATAATTGTGAAGATCGGCTAATATTTAGTTTTCATCTGCATATTTTTTAATGGTTTTTTGTTGGTCAAAGTTGATATTATATACCTAAATCAAGTGATATAATATACCAAGACTAGCAAATAAATGCACGCTACCTCGCATGCGGGAAAATTTTGTTAATTGAATTTATATTGATTTCTTCACAATAAATGTAATAAAAAGGTGCGCGTGGTCGGTCGTTCCATGCTCATAATAGAATATACAATCGATTGCGACATTTTCACATTATCGTACCAACTCTATTTTTCGTACACCTTTTGCCGAATTTTCAAAAACCAAATGCTTTGTCGATCGAACGCAACATCAAAGTTTCTCCCTCCAAACTTCAGATTCCCAGTTCTATCCATTCCCCAAATACCTAACTTGATACCGTTTTATACTTTTTACTGCGTACTCCCAAATCCAACTTCATTCATCAATCCCGCAGCATAATGCCAAATGTTACATCTCCAACTCCATTCATTTCCCAAAATTCCAAATTTCAAAAACCACATCCAAATCTCAACCCTACACACAAACAGTGATCCTAACGCCGAATTTAAGATTCCATGAACTATACGTTGAGCAATGTCAAATATAGTACAATTTAGTTCAAATCCGTTGATAAAACAGTCAGTTCGTCACAAACTCACTCATCACTCTACTTTTTTATATTCAAGATTCTAGCATCAGGCGCTTTGATAAATCATTCAGTCAGTCACAGACTCACTCATCACTCTACTTATTTATATATATTTATAGATTGCTATATACATCTTCAGTTAATAAACTCCCGTGCCCATGAATTCTAAAATTTAAAAGTTCTTTTTCAGATTTATATAAAATGAGCGCGGAACACGTCGAAGAAGTGGTTTCGGAAGAACCATTTTTGGGCACACTGGATATTGCATTATTAGTAGTCCTCTTAGTCGGTGCAACATGGTACTTTATGAGAAGTCGTAAGAAGGAAGAAGCTCCAATTCGTTCATATTCTATACAGTAAGTTTGTTGCATATCCTCAAGTACAAGCTGATTTTCTAAATTTTATTCTCAGACCCACTACAGTCAGCACCGTTTCAACGACAGAGAATTCGTTCATAAAAAAATTGAAAGCTTCAGGTCGTAGTTTAGTTGTGTTTTATGGTTCCCAGACCGGAACAGCCGAAGAATTTGCCGGACGATTGGCCAAGGAAGGTTTACGCTATCGCATGAAGGGAATGGTGGCGGACCCCGAAGAATGTGACATGGTAAGTATACTATCCCTATTTGTTCCTATTTGCAGTTGATGTCAAATTACGATTCAGTGACAAAATTATAGATAGTCACAAAGATTCCGCTTTACATTATAGACACTCGAAATGCGGACATTTGCTTATATATAGCTCGAACTGTCTCTGAGCACACAACACTACCTATTTAATATACTTCGGTACTAATCTTTTTCCAATTAATAAACAAATAATGAATAAATAAGTCAGTGATAATACAAATAAACGTAATGATTATAGCTATTAATTTTATACGCACTTTGGTTTCAATTATTTTTATGTCCTTCCCGTATTTAGTTTTTTTATAATCTGTAAATTGTTGTTATTCTTACATTTTAGAGTAGTTTCATATCCTTTCTATTTCACCATAGGTAGGCATAATTAAATCTTCTTCTATATCCACTGCTCATTTACAGGCAATATGTTCTGAAGAACTTTTGTCAGGAAAAGCTGAAAATTTTCGGTGCCATTGCTAAATTGGCGTTAGTGTTTGAACTTCCCCATACTTAGTATTTTTACAATTTTAGCGGAGGGTATTAAAAGTACAGCCAAGATGAGCTTAGTTGCTTTTTGACTTGTTCCTTTTGGTATTTGAAAACTAAACCGGATAATAACCATTCTAGCAATGACATATAAAAATCTTATCGTGATCGGTTTCATATATATGTTTCATACGATTTTGTTCAAGTCTCTCGCATTCGAAATATGCATTCTACAACAATGATATTAGATACAGCTCGGAAATACCTCTGCCAACTTTTATCGGGATCGGATCAGATTTAGATATAGCTTCCAGATAAATCTTTGCCGAAGTTCGTAATGGATAATATTATAATCCGACATTATTCACCGGAATTGTTTCAAATTTGGTATTTGAAGTTCGTAATGGTTACTACAGTCTATACTCTATATTCAGTATTTTGGTGATTTTAGCTATATTATTCACCGATTTTTTTTTTCAAGTTTCGCATTTGAATATTGTAATAGCATATGTAAATGGCATATGAAACTTGCCTATGCAGGTCCACGTCGTCGTATAGACTCTATAATAACGGCTACACTCTGCATTTTTAAGATTTTAACAGAATTTTTAACGGATTTTTTTTTTTGGAAATTGCCACATTCGTTTCAAATGGTGGAGGGTATTCAGATTTTTTACTTGTTTTAATTTAAGCCATCTCGAAGTCATATCATGGGCTCTAAAGCAATGATATTTGGTACGAGACGTACAAACGCCTCTGTAAAATTTGGAGAAAATAGGTTCAGAGTTGGATTATACCTTCCTTCTGATTCCAAATAATAACTGCTCTAAAGCCATAATATTCAAAATAGTTTTATGGCCGCTATGATCTTATTCGCATAAATTCCTAATATAAACGTTTATTTGTTACGGGTAGTTGTACTAAATATGCATAGTGGAGTAGGGTATCATACGTACGGCCCACCCGATATTGGAACATTAAAACCCGAAAATATAATAAAAAGAAATCGAATTTGAAAACATAATATGAAATAATTGTGGTTACCTAGTTAGGTAATCGCTTACAAACCAAAGCTCAAATAAAAACTTATTTCTTTTGAGAAAATAAACATTTTGGATTTTTATTTGCAAGAGCGGTTTAAAAAGAGAGTAGAGGACCGTAACATTAAAGCTTGTTTGACCATTAAAATTATTTACACAGTTGCTGATATACATATATTTTTTATTACTTTTTAGGAAGAATTGTTACAAATGAAGGATATTCCTAACTCATTAGCCGTTTTCTGTTTGGCTACATATGGTGAAGGAGATCCCACTGATAACGCTATGGAATTCTATGAATGGATTACAAATGGCGAGGTTGATTTGACGGGTTTAAACTACGCCGTAAGTAAAATAATTTTGTAACAACATTTGTGTACTCAAAAAAATACTAACAAGACGTAAAAGATAAGGTCTGTTCCAGAACTGCAAGAATGTAAAAGTTTTAACTACGATAAATGATTTTTCCTTTATGATATTGAAGAAAATTGCAAAACTAGTAGATTCTTGCAGGTACTGGAACATAGCAATCATTGTCTCAAAAAAACAATTATTTTTTGAATATGTATTGTTCCATGGTAGAATTATTAAGTTACCTCTGCAACTATTAATTTTTTTTTAACGGAACATGATTTTGAAAAGAATTCCTTGCCTATTGTTTAGTTTTCCCATTATTTTGTTTATCAACTCAAATATCAAATGAACAAAACAACTTGTTTCATATCCATATATTAAGGACTTACAGTAAAGCCTCACAACTTTCCCAAACCGTGGATACAACCATGGCACAATCAAACTAAAACGTTGGCCGCAGCAGTAGTGGGGTTCTCTAACACATTTTAATTCAGACTTTTTATTCATAGTTTGGGTTTTAGTAAATTATCAATTGTAATTATAAGTAATTAACGAAATGTGTCGGTAGTTAAAAATATTATGATATTCGTTTAAAGGTCATATAAGGGTACGGTATTTTCTAATCGCCTGAATACATTTTTTTCTTTTGTAAATATGTAATGTTGAAAAAAAAGGTTTTTGTATGTATATGTATTGTTTTAAATAATAAAAATTATCAATTTCAGTTCAAAGTTAAGTTCATATTTACAACAATTGGATAGATTAAATGTGCGCTTTTTGGGAATGGAATAGAATTTTAATCGTATTAGAAACTCGATATTGTGAATAATCAGGAATCAGCATCAAGAATTTAGGAAGATACAAGATTCTAGCTTCAGGGTTGCGTTTTTCAAACTTATTCAATGTGGTCTCTCTTGAAATTATTATTATAATTTTTTTGAAATATAAAGGGTGTCCCAGTTTTCAAATTTCAAATAAAACACAGATATATAAAAAACTTAACTTTCTGCCACCATTAGCTAAAAAACAACAGGTAACATTATATGGGAGATATAGGAAAACGTGGACATATATAGATAATGATGTGTCACGGAAGGTAAAACACATTATAAAATATAAATACAAACACTCCAAAAAATTTTTCAATTTAGAATTTCTAATCGTGAAAAATTTAGCTAAGACGAGCAAAATACCGAATATCGGGAGGTACCGTTATACGAGCGCTTTAGCCAAAGTTGGACCCATATAAACATTTTTCTTTTACCGGAGCTAAAACCTACTACGAGCTACAAACACAAAATTGTAGACAATTCAGTTAGAAAATTTGGTTTAGGTCTAGATCATGGTACAATGTAGAGAAGGTCGGCTAAATTATAACATTTTGCAAGTTAAAAGGCCTACTTGTTGGATTGTAATGTCAGAATTACTAACCAAGAAAATGCAACAAGTTGATTGTTACAAAAAAAGAGAACTTGTTCCATTGATTCCAAATATATAAACAAAAACCGCGAAAATTGAATAAAAGATCTAATTTTCTCTTCAAAATTATAATTTGTGTATTTTTGTCCATTTATATATTGTAATATGCATTTTGTTTGCAACTGCGCTTTTTGGGAATGGAATAGAATTTTAATCGTATTAGAAACTCGATATTGTGAATAATCAGGAATCAGCATCAAGAATTTAGGAAGATACAAGATTCTAGCTTCAGGGTTGCGTTTTTCAAACTTATTCAATGTGGTCTCTCTTGAAATTATTATTATAATTTTTATACCCTACAACACTATGTGTTGGGGCTATTATAAGTTTGATTGGCCCAAAAATTATATAACACCACGAAATATTCGTTTCCCACATAGGAAAGTATATATGGATCTTCCTATCTCGCCGTGCTGAGTCGATCTAGCTATGTATGTCCGTCCGTCCGTCTGTCCGTCTATCCATGTTAATTTGTAATCACTCTACAGGTCGCAATTATGGCCCGATCTTCACGAAATTTAGAATGGATGTGGGGCTAGGGTCAGAATAGAACCCTATTTCTTTTGGAGGTGATAGCATAATATTTAGTTGCTGCTGATTAGCATGGGGCTAGAGCTTAGGGCTGGCCAGAAGCCTTCCAATTTTGATGGTCATCGGGTAGTATTTAGTGGGTGAAATAGGCCACAACATTTGTGTTAAATAAAAGTCAAATTTTCCATTAAACCGCGAATATTCTTAATCCCGGCGAAAACACAAATATATGTACGAACAGGCCGTTACGTAAATGCCGATAGTAAATATATCGGTTATATATAGCGAAATATAAACAATGTGTATATACAAAGGAAGGGGATGTTAGTTAGAATGCTTGTATCTCAAGAATGGCTGGACCGATTTTGACAAATTTTGTCAATTCAGAATGCCCTCTTGACATAAATGTATAAAATCTAAAAAATCGTAGAAAAATATGCCATTAATGATGATAATATAGATTTTGTAGTATTTTGTGACATTATTTCATTTTTTCATATTTTTTATCGCATGCGATTTTTTCAATTTGACTTATAATATTTTGAAATATTTTTTCAAATATTTTTTTTTTTTTTTTTGCAAATATCGTCCGATCCTCACGAAAAAGGGTAGGTTTGGGCTCAGAAGGGCTAGGCTTATTGTTTTCAAAGATGTCCGCAATATATTAGGGGTTGAAATGGACCAACAACTAAAAATTTTCCTGATTTTGAAGCGGTTATAAAGGTAACAAATAGAAACCAAAGACAATTCAGTTAGAAAATTTGGTTTAGGTCTAGATCATGGTGCAATGTAGAGAAGGTCGGCTAAATTATAACATTTTGCAAGTTAAGAGGCCTACTTGTTGGATTGTAATGTCAGAATTACTAACCAAGAAAATGCAACAAGTTGATTGTTACAAAAAAAAAAGAGAACTTGTTCCATTGATTCCAAATATATAAACAAAAACCGCGAAAATTGAATGAAAGATCTAATTTTCTCTTCAAAATTATAATTTGTGTATTTTTGTCCATTTATATATTGTAATATGCATTTTGTTTGCAACTGCATTTAAATATTCTCTCAAAAATGTTCATATTTGTGTATTTTTGTCCATTTATATATTGTAATATGCATTTTGATTACAACTGAATTTAAATATTCTCTCAAAAATGTTCATATGATTGAAATTAACACGCAAATAAACAAACTAATTTGGCATATTAAGCCAAGCAAATGAACGAAATTAAAATCGATTGGTTTCAGTGCCCTACCTTGATTTCAATGTACCATGGTTTAAGTCGTCAATATAATGAATATCTGAAGGTACCGATTCTTGGGGTGCTATTGTAAAACGTGTTACAAACTCTTATTACCAAATTTGGAATAATACCGTTGAAAAATCTGGAATATCCGGAGGTACCGTTATGTGAGAGCTATACGAAAACGTGGACGATATATAACTCAATTTCAATACCAACTATGTTGGACACAAACTATCTTTTGTGCCAGATTTTACAGCTCTACGTCTAAAATGTGTACTATATCGTGATTTCAACAGACAGACGGACATCGTTAAATTGACTTCGAATCTTATACTGATTTTGACAATATATACTGGAATATCCGGAGGTATAAAAAATCTGGAATATCCGGAGGTACCGTTATGTGAGAGCTATACGAAAACGTGGACGATATATAACTCAATTTCAATACCAACTATGTTGGACACAAACTATTTTTTGTGCCAGATTTTACAGCTCTACGTCTAAAATGTGTACTGTATCGTGATTTCAACAGACAGACGGACATCGTTAAATTGGCTTCGAATCTTATGCTGATTATGACAATATATACTGTATGGAGTCTAGGACAAATATTTAGAGGTGTTACATACGGAATGATAATTTTAATATAATGTGGTTATGTATGGAACAGGATATCGTGCAGATGAAGACAGCGGCTTTGCTGACACACACGACATCTTTAAATGAAATTTTCAAAGAACGTTTCGCATAAATACTGCGGTAGGTAGAGCCTACAGACTGATTAAAAACGAAAACAACTTGTTGCATTTAATTTTGAATAATTCTAGCCTCAGGGCTGTATTTCTGTAGTTTTACGAAGTTGTTCTACCTCCTTATTGTACCAGGGTTCAATCGACTTCAAAAAAAAAAAAACACAAAAGAAAAATTACACAATCTAGGCGGCCAATTTTGCTTACCTAAACTCGAAATAGCACGACCCGCAAATAATAAATGCAGAAATTTAATTGTTTCTCTGGCTGTATTGTGGCGCCGTTTCGTTGAAACAACATACCCTCCACATTCATTTCTTCAGTTCTAGCAAGAAAAACAGGCTATCATTTTACGATTGCGTTCTGATTGGGACACCCTTTGCAAATTAATTTTTGAGTCCCCACTAATCGACTAATTTCACATTTGACAGTCTCAATTTCTGATAACAACGGCAACACTATTCCTCATAGCTGAATTGATTTTCATAATCAGCTGATTGCTGTACAAAGTTGTGACTACGACACGATACTACCCGCACTAAACCTAACATTTCTTGTTATGGAAATATGATTTGTAAACTTGACGAGTGAATATCGCGTGTGTGTTGTAAGCATATTCCGTAAAAATGTCAATGAAAATAAGGTGTTTGTAGGAAGGCGTGTATAAAATGTACTTTTTTGTACGTTTGCCACTCTTTAAGAGGAAATCATTACTAAGATCATTACTTTTTATGCCACAATGCAGATGCCCATTTTATGTAAGACTACCAGCTATCGCCGGCCTATATGGAAACTTGTTGTTGGCTCCTGCATTTAAACTGGTAAATTGAATATGTACAAGCAAAGTTTGAGTATTCATGTGAAGTGTTTTATCCGGGCTATTGTTTTTATAAAGTGTGCTTGACTTGATACATGCTAGGAGTGAATACACCTTCGAACGTAGATAATTGTTATTCACATTTGCAAAGGTACTTAAAACTGCTAGTCATTGACTGCAAAAACAAATTTTATATTTTATTACACTATTAGAAGATAATGAACAGAAACTACGTGTAACTAATAATTGTGCTTGGTCTTCAAATGGGACAGATACTCGATATTACGTATGAGTTGTGGTTGCATTAATAACTACGTAAACATGTATGTTCCACTTGGCGTTTTGATAATAAAATGGCTGTTATCGCTTCCAAATAAGAGAACTGTAAATCTGACCTTGAAACTTTCTCGTTTATTCATATGTGTGCTACATTTAAATTGACTTTAATCTCAATTATTCAACTTTAAATATTAAATAAGCGCTATGATTTAACCAAATGTTACTTTTGAGTCTACTACCACGGGACAATGAAATCAAGGATGACACTGCCATCAGTCGATTTAATTTTTCTTATTTGCCTGACTCCTGTAAGCAGAAAATATCGCGGAGGTGTCTTAGTAGTCGCTAACTACAGTTATTGGAAGTGAAAAAGTATTCATTTTTTATAATATATTATATATTACCCATATTAAACTCCCGAATTTATTTTTTCGTTTTAAAGATGTAAATTCCGGCTTGGGTATTGAACCCGAGTGTTCAGAGAGCAAAGTGAACATGCTGACCACTGCACCACATTGTCATATAATCCTCAGATAGAACAAAGTCTTAATGTTGTACAGTTCGTAAATAATTGTACACTATTACTGTTTTATCCGATGGAAGTTTCGAAATGATGTCTGCACACGCAGACACTTCCGAAAACAGTCGAGGAACGATTTTTAGAAGTAACCAGTATACGCTATTTAGTCACGCTTAAAAATATCACGGGCGTGGTTCATTTCTTCCCGAAAGATGCTCTTTATGGGCCGAGAAAGCGATACCAAAGGGAATGATTTCTATCGCTTAGGTGTGACGTCTAAGTGAGGCAGGGTTGTATAGAAAATATTCAAATTCTGTTGTATTTTAAATGCTTAATACAACGAATATATGGAACATTTTTATCCTTTTTGTAACGAAATATAGATATATGTAGAAGATGCTTTGAAAAGAAATCTTGTACTTTTATTCAATTTTCGCGTTTTGTTTGTTTAAAATCAATGTAAGAAGTTGTTCTGTTTATGTGATACTAAATAACTTGTTGCATTTGTTTAGATAGTAATTTTGACATTACATTCCATACAGGCCCGTCTCTTTACTTGCAACTCAATTTACCTCAACTTCTTCAATTTACCATTCGTACTACTGTGGTTTGTGAAATCTTAATTTGTATATTACTTTATTTTGCAGGTATTGGCTTAGGCAACAAGTTATTTTGTCTATGTGATACTAAATAACTTGTTGCATTTGTTTAGATAGTAATTTTGACATTACATTCTATACAGGCCCGTCTCTTTACTTGCAACTCAATTTACCTAAACTTCTTCAATTTACCATGCGTACTACTGTGGTTTGTGAAATTTTAATTTGTATATTACTTTTTTTTGCAGGTATTTGGCTTAGGCAACAAGACTTATGAACATTACAACAAAGTTGCAATTTATGTGGACAAGAGGTTGGAGGAACTCGGTGCTACGAGAGTGTTCGAGTTAGGTCTTGGAGACGATGATGCAAAGTAAGTTATGATTCAATTCGTCCTATTCAGAAAATTCAGAACCATACATTTGGGGTAAACTCACTTTAATTCAAAACATTTTCTAAATAAGAAAATTTTCTCCAAAAAATTGTCGTAAATTCCTTAAGGTAGCATTTATTGAAATTTATTATCCGTGAAATATTCCGCTACTAAGGTTGGTACCACTAACATCCAAATATATTCTTAAGGTAATAACAAAACGAAAAAACATAAAGGAATCTAAATTGTCAACATAATTGATGTATACCAGTGACAACTACTTCGACTAGAGAATAGTCCACATTAATAGAAAATCTATTATTAATCAATGTTATACCATAACATTACCTGCATTTTAATGGTCATTCAAATGGATTCTGTTTTGAACATTCCCAGAAGACGAGAATAAGTTGAATTAAACTTAGCCGGGATTGACTTCCTGTTAAGCAAATAATACAAATGTTGGATATCATAAAGGCTTAATTATAACCCACAAATATACGCAAATTTAAAAAGGTATACTCTGAAGTCGTATATGCCATTTAAAAAACCATTTACAAGCATGTTGGTTTGATTTAACCGTCGCTGTAAAATATCAGATTGGATCTACATGTCACACATTTCACCAACATAGTTTTCTTCAATATGCTTCACAAAATCGTAGCAATTTGAAGTTCCAAGCTACAGCTTTTGAATTTTGTTATTAAACCAGTTCGAAAGACTTCCCTTATTTTACACAATCTCGCCTCAAGCGCTTTATCCTGGTCCTGCAGTTAACTTTTGTAGGGATGAATTGAAATCCGAGCAACATTTGGTTTAATTGGGGGAAATGTAACTGTTGGATGTGTTCTCATTGGTATGGAGCTTCAGCGTCTACACTTACCATGAATTTAAATTTACACCGCATTATCATTACACCGCAATGTAAAAATACATTACAGAGGCCAATTGCAGCTAAAACATTAAGCCGCGTCCTCTTCAAATCAGCAAATATTTTCTGCATGAATTGTCCAGCAACTTATTTATGAGAGGGTAAGGTAGTTTTATTCTCTTTTGTAAGAAAACTGAGAAAAGTAAACAGAAGGAATCCTTGCAAATCTTCCAAGCAATCTGTGAATCAATAATACTGTGAACATTTCTAAATAATAAACAGGCCTACCAATCATAATAAATTTATTTTGCACTTACTACCTGTTTCATTTTTGAGCTAAATAAAGTGAGTGGATTGTGCTAACTGCTTTTATAAATATTAAGATTGTTATTGTAACCTGTGACTGGCATGACGCATACATTATTTATTTTCGTAACTATATAATCTGTTGAGACGTCGAGAAAATTTGAAAACTAGTATATTCTTTCAGATCCCGGAACAGAGATATTGTTTAGTTACATTTTTAATGTATTGTATATTAATATACTTTGTAATATACTGTAATACTGTAATACGTACATTGTATCACTTATAATAAAGCGATATTGACAGAAGGTCCAAAAGACAGAAGACAGATAAGAAAAGAGGTTCAAAAGGAAGAGTTTCCGATTTAATCATTTGGCTTGCGAATTCTAAAATAAATATGTTTTTAAATGCTCTTTCAAAAAAACAAATCAGCTCATACTCGTAAGGAAGAAGAGTTGCAAGTGATTGCAAGAAGAAATTTTTGAATCTAAATGTGAGTTATATTGAACTAGCTGAAGCCGGTGCGATTCGTTACCCATTTTGAATTTTTATTGTAATATTTTCTACCTACGCGTGAACTTGCCAGAAACAGCTGACCAAGAGATAAGCAGGAACATGCTAAATTTAGTCAGCATACCCGAAGAGTTGGTCCTTTAGACTTATTAATTTCGTAGTGAATGTCAAGTGTGCAGGAAATTATCATTTTTGAAGTAGAGTGGCATTTTTGTTGCTATTAGAGAGTTCGAGGTAGCGACATACTTCCCCGTAATGATCGTATCCTCAATTAACTTCTTGTGTAGTTTTTTACTGTTACCCTAATACCATTGCAAAGGCGTTGTTGGTCAACGCTTCTTAATAAAATCATATCCAAATCTGAACCGATTTCAATAATAATTTGACAAAATTTATTTTTTTGACACACGTTTTCGACACACACAGACAGACCGACATCGTTAAATCGACTTAGAATTTTATGCTGATTTTGAATATATATTTTATGGGGTCTATGACGAATATATAGGGATGTTACAAACGGAATGACAAAGTTAATATACCCCCCTTTCCAAGGTGGAGGATATAAAAACGAAGCGCAAAACGTCAAGTGTAGCTTCTTCTGTTGGCATGTTGCGCCTACTCACATTTTTTTAATTTCAATTTTTGGTGAGCAAAAATTGGTTCAACATGGCTCTATAACGTAACCAACACTCCGTGCTCATTTTCGAAGAAAAATGGACCAGTTATCCCTCTGAACCAAAATCGGCACAGTTTTGAATACATTGGCTTTTTCTGTTCTGTTCTGTTGTTATTGCAATCTACAGGGTTAGATAAAAAAAAACTGCAATAAAGTCAAACAAAATGAATGGAAACAAAAAATGTCGGAAATAGCATCAAATTTTAATATAAGTTTAGGTTTGTTCGAATTGGTCACCTTTGCCACGAATTATGGCCTTCAAGCGGCCAATGTGGTATTTTGGCCTATTCCCGGCGAAGCCCTTGCTTGAGGTGATCGACACTTTGGTATTTTTTAGTGCCAACCTTGCTTTCCAAAATACTCCACTTTTTGGAATTTCAATGCGCTTTTGGAATTTCAATGGCTTTACCCCGAGCTCATTTTTTAATATTTGCCGAATGGATTATTGCGATATGTTCAGATCACGAGCCATTTTTCGGCCACTGCGACGCGGGTTTCGATCAAGTCGCTTCTTCTTTACTTTTCGAAGCGTTTCTGCTGATGTTGCTTTTTTCTGCCGTCCACTTTATTCACATTTAAATGCTGAAATCACACTATCACGCTTGATTTCCATCACGAATAACTTTTTTTCTGGAAAATTCTCACCAAAATGCTTTTGTACGCTTGTAAACAATATAATGAGCTGTCACTGGAATAATTTTAACAGCTGTCGGACGAATGGACGAGTGAGTAAGGAATGACAGCAGTCTGAAGTTGGTTGCAGTTTTTCATCTCACCCTGTATAAATGTTCTTCATTTGTCAATGTTTGTAAGATAATAAAGTTCTGTACTAATGAGCACGTTATTTTGTATGGATTTTATAGTAAATTCGGATTCCTTATGTAAGATGTATGAAATAAAATATCCTTTTGATAATGATATCACGCGCTACTGGTGATATACACGCGTAATTTTCAGCTGTGTCCGTGTGTTTATTTCCTGTATTTTTCAATTGATTCTGTATCGAAAAAAGCTGTATATTCTGCGGTGGTATTGAAGTTATTTTAAAGGATTTTAACGTTTACTTTGCTATAATTTTGTATGTTGTGTTCGCATATAAACAATCCTTGACTCGGTACCGACAGACCAAGGTGTTTTCCAACAACCTTTTTAAAAATGTTATATTTTGATATCTCAATATGTAAATATTTCCTCCTAAATATGAAATGGGGTGCTGTTCTTTACACGGGGTGCTGTTCTTTACCTATCCCTACAACTTAATTGATCCTGCAGACACAAGTATTTCTAAAATGTTCTTGTATGTAACAACATCGTTTGAGAAGAAGGAAAAATAATGTAAATTTAACATTCATACAGAATTTACACCATAATAACTCTAATAGGTCTATCGATATGTAGTGTTCCGCTCTGTAATTATTTAATAACTATTATGTGTGATTATTTCAGTATCGAAGATGACTTCATTACGTGGAAAGACAGATTTTGGCCATCTGTTTGTGATTTCTTCGGAATCGAAGGAAGTGGTGAGGAGGTATTGATGCGTCAATTTCGACTTTTGGAACAGCCGGATGTTCAACCCGATCGTATTTACACCGGCGAAATAGCTCGGTTGCACTCAATGCAAAATCAAAGACCTCCATTTGATGCTAAAAATCCATTTTTGGCTTCAGTCATAGTTAATCGAGAGCTGCATAAAGGCGGCGGACGGTCATGTATGCATATTGAGTTGGATATTGATGGATCAAAAATGCGGTATGATGCAGGCGACCATATAGCAATGTATCCGATTAATGATAAAATCCTGGTAGAAAAATTGGGTAAACTATGTGATGCAAATCTAGATACAGTCTTCTCTTTGATCAATACGGATACGGATAGCAGTAAAAAACATCCATTCCCCTGTCCCACCACATACCGTACCGCCCTGACACATTACTTGGAGATTACTGCAATACCGAGAACACATATTCTGAAGGAGTTAGCAGAGTATTGTTCCGATGAAAAGGATAAGGAATTTTTACGCAACATGGCGTCTATTACTCCGGAAGGCAAAGAGAAGTATCAGAATTGGATCCAGAACTCTTCAAGAAATATTGTGCATATTTTGGAGGATATCAAATCTTGTAGACCACCAATTGATCATATTTGTGAACTGTTGCCAAGACTTCAACCGCGTTATTACTCGATTTCATCTTCTTCTAAGGTAAATGTTATTTTCTTCGAAAACGGGTTTGAGTTGTGATTTATTTTCCGCTTCATTTTAGCTCTATCCAACTAATGTTCATATTACAGCAGTTCTGGTTCAATATGAAACACCTACTGGCCGTGTAAACAAAGGTGTTGCTACGTCATACATGAAGGAAAAAAAGCCTTCGGTTGGAGAGGTTAAAGTGCCTGTATTTATTCGCAAATCTCAATTTAGGTTGCCAACTAAATCCGAGATTCCAATCATAATGGTGGGCCCAGGAACGGGTCTAGCACCTTTCAGAGGATTCATACAGGAAAGACAATTTTTACGAGATGGAGGAAAAGTTGTCGGCGATACCATATTGTATTTCGGGTGTAGAAAGAAGGACGAAGACTTCATTTATAGAGAAGAACTAGAGCAATATGTACAAAATGGAACTTTAACCTTGAAAACGGCATTTTCAAGAGACCAACAAGAAAAAATTTATGTTACTCATCTAATCGAACAAGATGCTGATTTAATTTGGAAAGTAATTGGCGAACAAAAGGGACACTTTTATATTTGCGGGTAAATGATGTCACAAAAAATTGTTTTGCCACAAGGCTCATTGTAATAAAACGATTTTTTTTATTCCAGGGATGCTAAAAATATGGCTGTGGATGTTAGAAATATTTTAGTTAAAATTTTGTCAACCAAAGGCAATATGAACGAATCAGATGCTGTGCAATATATAAAAAAGATGGAGGCACAAAAGCGTTATTCCGCGGACGTTTGGAGCTAGAAAAAAACGTCATTTGTACAACACTAGTAAAACCAATAATTCCTTCGTGTCTTGTTTCCTAAAATAAGAAAATTTGCAATTCCATGCAAAAACAAGATTATTTATATTTTTTATAATATTTTTGTACAGAAAACAAAGAAGTTCTTCCGGTTTGGGAATATTTTCCACGTGCTTACTAATGTTTTATTGTATGCATTTTTACCCATCACCACTTTTGTCAGAATAATTTATAGACAAATAAAAAACGTTATCTTTCGAATCAATAGTGTTTAAAAATTCGTCATTTCTTATCGTTAATTATGTAATGCCTCTTTAATGTACGTATGTAGGAAAATCGAGATAAAAACAAGATAACTACTTTTGCGGCACATAAGCAGATACTATTAATGAGCAGTCATGAACTTGGGACAACGTTTTTTTTTTAAATATTTCTACAAGACGGATAGATAAAAAAACGCGCTCGTGTCTTTGTTAGGAATAATTCCCGCATAACACTAGAATTTATATTAATCTCATATGCCAAGCTGTGGAAATCCCATTTTATAATATTATAACATTCATTAAAATCGCGCATTTTGTCGAATTTCGTGTTGTTTTGATATGCTCAACGAATTTACTCCAATTCGGAATGGCCTTTCGACAGAAAAGATAAAATATATCAATAAAAAGTGAATACTTTGTTACATAAATACATTCATATAATTGTTTATACTCTCTACCATTCTATGGAGGGTATATTAGTTTTGTCATTCCGTTTGTAACTCCTCGAAATATTCATGATAGACCCTACAAAGTATATATATATATATATATATATATATATATATATATATATATATATATATATATATATATATATATATAAATATAGCGTGATTACAACAGGCAGACAGACGGACATCGCTAAATCGTCTTAGAGTTTTATGTTGATCCAGACTCTATATATATATATATATATATATATATATACATATATATATATATATACATATATATATATATATATATATATATATATATATATATATATATATATATATATATATATATATATATATATATATATATATATATATATATATATATATATATATATATATATATATATATATATATATATATATATATATATATATATATATATATATATATATATATATATATATATGTATGTATATATATATATGTATGTATATACATATATATATGTATGTATATATATATATATGTATGTATATATATATATGTATATATATATATATATATATATATATATATATATATATATATATATATATATATATATATATATATATATATATATATTATATATATATATATATATATATATATATATATATATATATAGTCTGGATCAACATAAAATTCTAAGACGATTTAGCGATGTCCGTCTGTCTGCCTGTTGTAATCACGCTATATTTCGAACAAATTGTGATATAAGGCTAAAATTTTGCACATATGTGTATTTTGGCAGGCTAAGTTCGTAAATAGGCCATGTCGGTCCACGTTATCGTATAGACCCTATATTACGGTCCTTTCGATATTCGGTGTTTTGGCGATTCTACCGACAGTATTTAAACGAATTTTCTCAAATTTCGTATTCGAAGTTTGTAATGGGTACTACAGCCAATACATAATAAACGTTACCCCCTTTATTCGGTATGTTGATGATTTTAGCGACATTATTCGTCGGAATTGTTTCAAATTTCGTATTTGAAGATCTTAAGGTGTACTAAATACACGTGTGCCTCAAATTTCGTATGCAGGTCCACGTCTTCGCGTAGCCCCCATATATTCGATATTTTTTATGATTTTGCCGGAATTGTTTCAAATTTCGTGTTTAAAGTTTGTAACGGGTACTACCATGGTACAATGAAGACAAGGTAGGCCCACTTTGAAAAAATTACAAGCGTAGAGGCCTACCTGTTTGGCTTGTAATGTCAGAATTACTATCAAAACAATTAAAAAGCCAAACAACTTGTTGCTTTGATTATGGATAAATAATTCAAAACTGCGAAAACTGAATGAAAGGCAAACATTTATTTTCAAAATCATGTTTTATTTATCTTTAAAGGTTTATTTCGCTACAAAAAACTAGATTTTGTAAATGCATATATTGCAATAAACATTTTGAAAACACTCGAATTTTAATATGTTCTGAACATTTTTTTATTATTGAAAAGAATACACACACATAAACAAATAAAGTTGACACATTAAGCCAAGAAAATCATAGCAAAACAAACAAAAATGTACGTATTCGTATAGCCACAATATAACGATACCTCCCAAAATCGGCATTTCTATGATTTTAGAGACATTATTCACCGGAATTGTTTCAAATTTCAGCCTAAGACAGAAACTTGTTTAAAATTGGTCTAAAACATCTAAATGAGGTTGTATCCAAACGTGGTCCAACTATTTTCGTATGGAAAGTTTTCATCTCATTTGAACCCAAAATATCCGTATTAAATAGATTTATATTCTCTGCGAATCTGAAGCGCTAAAATACTAATTTGTTTGGAAAATGCTTCTCAAAGCTTCAAAATACTTAAATGCCTAATAGAATACCAATAGTATACAAGTTTTGCTCGATAAGATTTCACAATACTAGACATACGAACTTATTCGGTCGGCGATTGAGGCATAAAATGCCAAACGACGAGTGTTACATTGTAGGATTTTGTAGGGGGTACATCTAAACGGGAATCAATCATCCTAGGAATAATGTATACGTCTGTGTAAAACTCTATGAAATATCTTGCGACCTCTTCTGGGCACATAGATAGGTTCTGAATGAAAAAGTGTTGAACTCCAAATTTGTGTAGAATATGCGAAACCAAATTGCGAAATTGAAACCCATTCTGTTGGAAATGAAAACTAGAAGTAGTAGTAATAGGGAACCAATATAACACATTTTTACTAAAAAATATTTAACAATACTCAATTGCTGTCGTTTATTCCCGTATGCTTCTCAATGCTTAAAAATACTTTAAATCTGCAGGCGAACTGCTTAATAGAAAACTAATATGATACAAACTTTCCCGGAAAAGATTTCACAATAGAAATACGAATTTATTTGGTCGGAAACTGCGACATAAAATCCAAAACGACGAGTGTTACTTGCTAGAATTGTATATGGGCTATATCTGAACGATAATCAATATTTTTATACCCCCACAGCTCACGTTATTTGACGTAAAGCTTCAAAATTTAGCAGAACAATTTGTATTTTGTCTAGGATGGTTTGTATTGAAAAGGAGATATATCGGTTCACGCTTTGTTATAGTCGATGATTTTTGTCACATTTTTTCACGGAATTGTTTGAAAAATGGATCCTAGTTCGTGTGGCGAAAGATTGTATGTATAGGACCACGCTTTGGTATAGCCCCCTTATAATGGTACCTCCCGATATTCGGCTTCGAAGCTTTTGCCAAAATTGTTCAAAATTGTTACCCTTTGTGGGGAAAGTACTGGAAGGATTGGACCAATATTGTCCTTCTTTCAAATCGATCTAAGTTTGACAATAATCTTACGATGTACCATGGTACAATGATGACAAGGTAGCCTAAGTTGGAAAAAGGTGCCTACCTGTATGGATTGTAATGTCACAATTACTATCAACAATTGCAACAATTTGTTGTTTTGCATTGAATAAACAAAACAACTTGTTGCATTGAATTTAAATAAATAAATACGCGAAAACTAAAAGAAAGTTCAAAATTTATTTTCAAAATCAAGATCTAATCGTATATGTCTCTAAATATTTATTTCGCCACAAAAAGTGTAAATTGTGTCCATACATACGTTGTAATAAGCATTGTAATTCCAACTGAATTTGAATATTTTCCAAACAATTTTCATATAATTGAAAAGAATACACATACGTACACAACTAAAGTTGACACGTTAACCCTGGCAAATAAAAAAAAAAAGAAAATCGATTGGTAGCAGTGCCCTGCCTTTACTTTATTGTACCATGCGATGTACCAAGTTTGGACGAAATCGGAGACTTCCTTCGATAGTAATCGTGCGCACCAGACAGACAAATGGATGGTTGGACGCCGCTAGATCGACCCACGAATAATAACTCAAGAAGAAAATAATATAAACAAAATAAAATAAAAAAGGCATTTGTATTCGGAAGATTATGCAAGACGAATGGATTCAAAATGTGCATCATCGTTTGTGAGCGAGGGCATTGGCGTTAATCCTAGAGATATACTCTATTTTAAAGATTTATAGCAAAGGTGACTACTACATTCTACTACAGAGAATTTGCCGAAATTTTGAAGTTGCGAATCCTCCTCGGATGTACACAAAAAGGCTGCAAGTTTCAATTAAGAAATGTTAACAACTACAAGACTTAAATACTTAATTGTACTACAATATTCCTTATTAGGATAAATAGTTACATTTCTTCTTTCTTATAAATAAAAGAGTGGTGCTTGTGGTCCATTGAAATATTAATTGAACGCAGCACCTTCATATTGCCAGTTTAACGATCGCTTAACTTCATGGTTATAACTTTGCATTTTTCCCCCCAAAAAACACTCGTAATGGGTACGCCTTTGGGTCTTTCTGGTGACGTCCATATTGAAGGAGTTAATTTCAGTTTTTATTAAAAAGTTGAATGTAGTCGATAAAAATTTATGAAAGACTTCCATATTATATGTTTGCACGAGACTACCTTATATAATATATAGAGTGAACAAACAATACACATACATTTGTTATCACGCGAATTACAATAGAAATACTGAATGAATAGGATGATGCGTTTGACAAGTAACCGCTTATTATGCGGTATTGAAATGTATATAAACGACCTGCTGTTTCTCCTACGAGTATGTGGTAGCATTCGCAATGGAGATTGTGTACGACAAGTCCGTAATAGTGATTCCGAAGCACTTAACTTTAGATTTCTTTGAGGAGGTGTTGGAAAATGCGCTTCAACAAAGCAATTGCCAAATAGAAAAAGTTGATGTGAATATGGGAAGCAAAACTGGGGACAACTACTGTAGTTTCATTTATCGGGTCCAACTGAAGTACAAAGGTCGGTCCGAAGAGCAGCAGAATCGGTCTTCGGTTATGTCCGTCATAATTAAAAGTACGCCTCCTTGTTCCGCTACGGATTTTTTGGAAGACATGGAAGTATTCCTCAAGGAGAAGATTTTTTATTATCACATTTTGCCACTGATGGAAAATTTAATGGAGAAGAAAGTTCGGTTTGGAGCAAGGTAGTTGTAAGGTTACATGTTGAATTGTGTCTGTGTTAATTACCGATCATTCCAGGATATTCTACAGTATGAAGAGCCCGGTGAATACGTTTGTGTTTGAGGATTTAAATGCTCTTGGATACAAACTTGCCTCGAGAGAAAGGGGATTAGATGAAATCCACGCACTAATGGTTTTAAAACGTCTAGCTCAATTTCACAGTGTTTCGGTTTCGGTAATGGAAAAGGTACGCCGTTTTTGTCAATTTTGTAAACATATATAATGTAAACATACTCCCTTTTAGGATCCTTCACTTTTGACAGGATTCAAAAATGGCATCCTTGCAACTTCGGCGCTTAAAAAAAAGAACAGTAACTTCTATGGTTTCGTTAAAAGTAGTTGTGATGGCTTAATCGACCTGGTCAAATCATGGGATGGGTATGAGGAAATTGTCCGGAAGATGAAGGATTACTCAGCTAATTTACTGGAACGTTTACTAACGATGCAACAACCACTTGCCGGAGAATTTGAAGTTCTGAACCATGGTGATCTATGGGTGAACAACGTACTGTTTAGATACGACGAAAATTCGGTCCCGTCAGATATGGTATTTCTAGATTACCAAATGAGCATTTGGGGAAGTCCTGGAATTGATATAAATTATTTTTTCTACACGAGTCTGTCGCCAGAATTGTTAAAGTCAAGGAGGGATTTCTTTATTCGATTTTATTACAATGAACTGAAGACAAACTTATCGAAGCTTAAGTGGAACACCATACCATCCTACGAAGAGTTGCGAACACAAATTACACGGCGTGAACCCTTCGGCTTCTTCGCCAACCATGCAATCTACCCGATAATTAGCATTGGAGAGAATCTAGCAGTAGACAGCACCTTCGAAAACTTCTCTAATGCAGAGTTTGCAAGGAAAAAATTCAAACAAATATTTTCTCAAGAAAAATTAAAAAATATGTATTCGTATACTTTATTGCATTTCAACGATATGAATGTATTCGACTAAACTGAATCTGTCTGAATTAAAATTCGAATAAACTTTAAATCATTGGTGATGGTGAACCGCAAAGAGTTGTTATGCAGGATCATTCCTCCTTAAATATTTTGGTGGTTCATGGTTCAATTTATTATTACATACTAAGCTACGGGCTTGATGTGAAGGTGGATGTCGCCGTGTACCCTTAGCAAAAATGAGTCCGAATCGATTTTTTTGTCGTAACGAGTATTGTAAGAGGGGACTAATTCGAAATTTCGTATCAACTCCATTATAGCGATTTTAATTTCCATTAGCGCCAATTTCATTCCTGCAAAAGAGACATTAAAGAGCGCATTGTATTTAATTATGAAACGAAAGAGAGAAAACATTATGCTAGCTTTTGCATTGTTTTACATTGGTGTTCTTCCTGGGAATAAAATACTCACCTGGACACATTCTCGGCCCCTCTCCAAAAGGTAAGAATACACCCATATCTCTATACCGTTGGACACCACCTAGGTCCTCATCAAAACGCTCGGGCCAGTACTTTTCGGGCTCATCATAGAACTCCGGGTCGTGATGGAAAGAGTATGATGATATATATATTACATCTCCAGGTTTTAACTCTACCTTAGAGCCATTCATGTGGTTTTCTATGGTAATCGGTTCCGTACATATCTTAAAGAGAGTTGCTAGTGGTGGGAAGAGTCGAAGTGTCTCCTGAATACATTGATTTAAGTAGGTGTTTGTTGTTATGTCATAGCACGTTTCTGGTTCCTCACATTCGATCAAATACGTCCTTAGTTTATTTTGCACACGTTGATTTTCTGCTAACTGAAACAATATCAGGAGGAAAAGACATAATTTTCCGAAACATTTCTATTGTTTATTATTATTTAAAAATGAATATTTTGACCATTAGAAAAATATTGTGAACAATGTGCAAATTTAAATTGTTTCAGGTTTTTATACCCTGCAACACTATATGCTGGAGGTATTATAGTTTAATTGAGCCAAAAAGTTTGTAACACCTCGAAATATTCCTATTTCGGCAAGCTGAGGCTAAGCAGCTATTTGTGTCCGTGTGTCTGTCTGTCCATGTTTATTTGTAATCTCGTTACCGGTTGCAATTATGAGCCGATTTTCACGAAATTGCATGTAGCTGGGGTTAAGGTCAGAATAGATGAATATTGTTTTTGAGATGATCGCAAATTATTTATTAAAAATGAATTTTCCACTTTACAGCGAATATTTTTTATCCCGGGGAGACACAAATACACAAAAAGGCCATTTCTGATAATTACATTGATGCGGATAGCCAAAATATCTGATATATAAAAAAATCCAATAAAAATATACCAATATTGCTTATTTTTTATACCCTCCACCATAGCATGGAGGGTATATGTATATATTATTGATCAGGATAAAATCTTATGTCGATTTAGCGATGTTCGTCCGTCTCACTCTAGCTTCCGAACGAATTAAAGTATATTGATAAAATTTTACTAAAATGTATGTTATGTCTACAGGACTTTTGGTATTGAAAATTGGATATGTGGGTCCACGTTTTGGTATAGCCCCCATATAACGGTACCTCCCGATATTCGGTATTTTAATAATTTTAGCGACGTTTTTCACCGGAATTGTTTCAAATTTGGTATTTGAAGTTCGTAATGGATACTACAGCCTAAGACAGAAAATTGTCTGTGAAGTTCCACGTCTTCGTATAGCACCTATATAACGGTACCTCCCGATATTCGGTATTTTGATGATTTTAGCGACATTATTCACCGGAATTGTTTCAAATTTGGTATTTGAAGTTCGTAATGGATACTACAGCCTAAGACTGAAAATTGTCTGTGAAGGTCCACGTCTTCGTATAGCACCCATATAACGGTACCTCCCGATATTCGGTATTTTGATGATTTTAGCGACATTATTCACCGGAATTGTTTCAAATTTGGTATTTGAAGTTCGTAATGGATACTACAGCCTAAGACTGAAAATTGTCTGTGAAGGTCCACGTCTTCGTATAGCACCTATATAACGGTACCTCCCGATATTCGGTATTTTAATGATTTTAGCGACATTATTCACCGGAATTGTTTCAAATTTGGTATTTTAAGTTCGTAATGGATACTACAGCCTAAGACTGAAAATTGTCTGTGAAGGTCCACGTCTTCGTATAGCACCCATATAACGGTACCTCCCGATATTCGGTATTTTGATGATTTTAGCGACATTATTCACCGTATGTTATGTCTGCAGGACTTTTGGTATTGAAAATGTGATATGTGGGTCCACGTTTTGGTATAGCCCCCATATAACGGTACCTCCCGATATTCGGTATTTTAATAATTTTAGCGACGTTTTTCACCGGAATTGTTTCAAATTTGGTATTTGAAGTTCGTAATGGATACTACAGCCTAAGACAGAAAATTGTCTGTGAAGGTCCACGTCTTCGTATAGCACCTATATAACGGTACCTCCCGATATTCGGTATTTTGATGATTTTAGCGACATTATTCACCGGAATTGTTTCAAATTTGGTATTTTAAGTTCGTAATGTATACTACAGCCTAAGACTGAAAATTGTCTGTGCAAGCCCACGTCTGCGTATAGCCCCCATATAACGGTACCTCCCGATATTCGGTATTTTAATAATTTTAGCGAATATTAATAGAATTACGGTGAAGTACTTATTACGGGGAAGTATGTTGGTACCTCGAATTCACTATTTGCAATAGAAATGCCACTCAACTTCAAAAAATTGCAGTTTCCTGCACGCTTGGTATTTCCTATGAAATAAATAAATCCGAAGGACAAACCCTTCGTGTATGCATGTCATGTTACTGCTTTTCTAATGGTTTTGTTTATTAACGCATTAAAGTAGTGCAATATTTTTTTTTAATTTTTAAATTTGTTTTTTTTTTTTTATCCAACATATATTTGTACTATATTCACCTCACTTCATTTAGCTCAAAAATTAAACAGGCAGTAAGTGATGCATAAATGTTGTATGCTGAAAAAGTAGGTCAACGTATAGCCCCCATATAATGGTATTTGTGTTTGTTTCAACTTTGGTACTTGTGGCTCACAACAGATTCCAACACCTGTAGCAGAAATGCTCTATTTTGTTTGATCCTCATTTTACAACATTACTGCCCACTGTTTGACAATTACAAGTTCTCCAGCCGAGTTCCCTAGCATTTGCAGTGGGAAGTTGAGCTCGTCTGTTGTTATGACTTCCGCTACAATCGATCATACAAATTCACGAAATAGTAAATACGCGGGTTCCCTCTAAATGTGGAATTATTAGGTTCCCAGATACGAGTAATAACATTTTTTTTAAATACTTTGTAAAAGAAAATAGTAGAACCATCCTACTTACAGAATCAATATCAAATGTATCCATATCCAGTCAAACATTTAAAGCTGTGTCTGCTCGTTGTCTGTTACGACAATGTTTTCTCAATGTGACGCTTCTTGGTCTTAGCAGTGTGTGCCATGTTTCCACGTCTTTGCGCTCTGTCCTCAACACATTTTTTTAAAACCTATTCCGATTCGTCACTTCTACTCATATCTTGAAGATATCACATTTTTTATTGAGGTGGTCACTTCAACCTCATCAGCTGAAACCCTTATAAATACGTTTGATGGAGTCACTCAATACATTAAAAAAAAAACAATTTACTGATTCTGGACAAAAATACTGATTATCGGCAATTGTCAAATTTAAATCTTCATGTAGTAATAACTACTTGGCCTATCAACACCAAAATGCAGGTCCTTTCTAATTGATAAGTTATCTATCCATTCCCATCAATAATTTTGTACTACGATGTATTTGGTTTTGATCATGGTCGTGATCATCCAAAATGTTAGACTTCTGTCCTGTTATTAACACTCTCTTCATGCAAACTGGCCGATTGGTTTTCAATTGTGCCTTCTAGAGCGACTGTAAAATCAAAAAAATTTAAATCAATTCTAACCCTAACCCCACCCCCTTGCAAATTTCGTGAGGATTGGACGATAATTTAGAACTGCATACAAAACACTCAACACATAGAATTGTAGGATGTAAAAAAAAAACTGCATGAAAAATACAATTCAAAATTATAGGTAAAAATAAAAAATTGCAAAAATTACAAAAAAAAAAAGAATGTAACAAACAATATTCTCTTTTTCATTGGCATATTTTTACTTTTTTACTTACTGTTTTTAGTAATGTATTTGCTACACTACATTATAAAAACCATGAAATTGAGATTTCCTCTCAGAATACGTATATGAATTTCTGGCGTTTGGGTAAGACTTATACTTTTGACGTCTTCTAGGACCTATTGCAAATAACTTAAAATCGAAGTTTTCCTTACAAGCGGACTATTCCAAAAAATTGTAACCCATTTTCTGGACCAATGATTCTGGATGTAATGTAAAGATCTCTATCAAATTTTAAAGGTCTATCCTAAATATTATAAAATATATCTCACATTATAGTGGTCCCTTTGTATATGGTAAAAACTATATAAGGGCCTTAATAATATTTGGCCTAAGAATCCAGAATTATATTGGATATTTGATCTAAAAACGAGTACTATCAAGCCACTTGGCATGTTCCACAACACAAACTGACTATTGTCTAGTGAAATTATAAGAAAATTGGCGGCGAATTGCGAAAAAATGATCAAAAAAATTAAGAAATATTTTCGAGTTGTTTTGAGAACGTTGAAGCTAATACTTTGTTGATATACAATGAAAAATAGATATTTCTTCTCTTTAGTGGTTTATCGATAGATATTTGATGAAGAATATTTTGTGTTTGACGTTATCCTTCTAAAATGAAGCTTTTTTCGAAGTTTAGCACAAACGCACACAAAGAACGGTTTTAACCTGAAATCGTCTGTTTAATATATATGAATTCATGGCGTTTATTTTAGATTTCGAATTTGACATCTTCTATGACCTATAGTAGAATTTTATGACAAATAATTTTGTACAATATTTTGACTTACTAGGATCCCATTTAAAGGAAGTTGTTTAATTTAAAAAATTTAACTACTGCATTGTCCAAACCATATAATAGTTGTTATTTCAATAGTTTTTACCAAGCAAGCCTGATTTCGAATACCACTCGGTTTAACGAATTTTTCAATTTAATGAACTGGGCTTTCATTATATAGTTCGTTAAATCAAAAAATCTGTAAATTATTTATTTAATATAAATCTGTATATTTTTTATTTAATATAAATTTTTCATTTACGAAAACACTTTTTAAATAAATTAAAAAAATTCAAATTTTAACATGTATTTTTAGATGACGGACAGATTTTTGGACATTGTTGCGGTTAATTAAAATTCTTACAAAATATGTTGAAAGCAAGATCAAATCACATTTGCGCTTACCATGTAAACTTGGTCTATCCATAGACCGTGGCCTTGAGTATCTGGTGATTTATTTTTATGCAAGAAATCTGAATACATTTTTGTCTGGAAAATGATTTTTAAGCTAGTTGCAGAATCAAGTATTCTCTCTTTTTTGGGACAAAAAGGGTACTGCATGAAACAGGACTTAATATTATACTTTGGAGGAGTTTTCAGTACAAATTGCAATAGCCTAGGTAGTAAATGTGCAGCAAAATATATCGAGTAATGCCCCTAGCTTCTACAATGTCATTTGAGGAAGAAATATGAAATGTATATATGCTGAAATAAAGTTAGTAACGGGATAACACGTTCAATCACGGGTTTTATAAACCAAATCCTAGAAATATTAAATGAAGCACGTTATTTAGTCTCAAACTGTGTCCGAAAATAGACTAATGCTGTTTGGGAAACCGAATAAAAATGTTAATTATTTGCAATGTCTAAAGAAATGTGTGACGTATATATGTATGTACTGCAGTAATTTCTTACAAGCCACTTTAAACACTTTTCCAATTGAGGGATTGTATGATGTACAAAGAAATAAATGTGTACATAGGAGTGTGTGTATTTATAAGAACAAATACATCGAGGATCAATAAAAAGGAGCTGATCTGATACCGCTAGATGGGATGCTTTCTCCTGCTTCTAATGTTGTTATAACACGGAAGTGCTTCTTTCAATGTGGCTTTTTATATGCATTCATAAATATAGCGTTATACGTACCATTAACAAACAATGTGCTATTACTATTGCAACTGTCTCGAATCCGTCAATCAATACCGTGGTTGTATGTCCGGCCATTTGTATATAGGTCAAATCATTTTTCGCATTTAGTTGTATTAGACGGCTTAATACACTGCTCTTAAGTTCATTATCCTGTAGCGCTTCCCTTGCCAATCCAATGAAATACTCTTCTGTTGGGGCGGGAAAGAACCGAACTGGACAGACCTTTCGCAAGAAAGGAAAACATGCTGTGCGTCCATAATATTTGACACATCGCATTGCCTGATTAAGCATGTTTGTAGCCATACGATGAGTTGGCGAGTAGTTTCCTTCATGTTGGAAAGTATTCTCATCCATACCCCAGATGTATTTTGTCATAACGCCGCATGTAAAACGATTTGCTATCTGCGGATAAATTCCAGACCTATTTTTATCGTACATGTATAACAATAAGTACATGCATATTTACAATCACATACGTCTTTTATATCCCACACAGTGTTCGGGTCTTGTGAGTTGATATATTCGGTCATCTTTCCTGCACAGTCTTTTATGATATCGATGTGGGATTGCACCTGCGAATATAAAATAGAGTGCTTAAATGAATATATGTACCGAACATCCTTTCTTGTTTGAGAATATCCCAACTGGCGATCGTAAACCCGATTGAAGTGAACCATAAAATAGAGGGTGTATTAAAATTGCCATTCTATCCCATAAGCAGTTATTCCCCGACAGATATTGGATTGCAACTCACCTAACAAAAAAATTAAAAAAATGCGACCCACCTATTGGCTGCTTAAATAATAACAATTAAACAAGAGTTATATCATTGAACATATAGGAAAATCCGACATATTAGTTGGCCAGCAACGCGTTACATATACAGTTCGACTTTTCGAGCTTTTTAATCTCTTCCCCAATATGAGTGTAAAAGTTATACTCTCAGCCATATGGCTACAGGGGGTATTTATCATTTGATACGGCCAAAACGAGCCTCATCGAAATAACGGGTTTAGACCCTAGGTCTCGTCGGACCAAACTAGGGATGTCCATCCGTCTGGATGTCTTGATGGCTGGTGCGCACGATAACTCTCGAAGGTGTATTAAAATTGCCATTCTATCCCATGAAACAGTTGTCCCCCGACAGATACTGGATTGCGACTCACCTAAAAAAAAAAATAAAAAAAAGGGACCCACCTATTGGCTACTTAAATAATAACAATTAAACATGAGTTATATCATTGACATATTTGTTGGCCAGCAACGCGTTACATATCCAGTTCGACTTTTCGAGCTTTTTAATCTCTTCCCCAATTTTATACTCTCAGCCATATGGCTACAGGGGGTATTTATCATTTGATACGGCCAAAACGTGCCTCATCGAAATAACGGGTTTAGACCCTAGGTCTCTTCGGAACAAACTAGGGATGTCTCGATGGCTGGTGCGCACAATAAATCTCGAAGGTAGCATCCAATTTGATCCAAACATGGTAGATCGTAATTTCATTTTCAAACTGAGATCGAGTTCGGATTTGATCAATACCAGTCCACTCTTTCTGGTACATCCCCCACAAAAGGTCAACATTTTCAAAGAAAATTATTTACTGTATAAAACACGTAAAGGTGATTCAGTTCTGTGAAAACTCTGCAAATCGCAATATTTGCATAAGTTCCAGATCAGGTGCGAAAATTGATAATATCTGCCCACTTCAACATGTACCCCCACACAAAGGGTAAAAATGTGGAATAATTATGACTCTAAAACAAGTAAAAAAACATTAAGTTCGACCGGGCCAAACTTTTAATACCCTCCACCTTAGGGTAAAAGAAACATTAGAAGAAATGTGGCAAAAACCATTAAAATGCCGAATATCGGGAGGTACCGTTATATGGGGGCTACACCAAAAAGTGGACCTATAATTACAATGTTTCGCTACACAAACTAGGACCCATTATGACCCACAAATACCAATTTTTAGACAAATCAGTGAAAAAATGTTGCAAAAACCATCAAAATATGGGGGCTGTATCAAATCATGGACCCATGCATGCAATGTTTCGCCACCGAAGCTGGAACCCATTATGACCAACAAGTACCAATGTGGCAAAAATCATCAAATTACCGAATATCGGGAGGTACCGTTATATGGGGGCTACCAAAACGTGGACCTATAATTACAATGTTTCGCTACACGAACTAGGACCCATTATGACTCACAAATACCAATTTTTAGACAAATCAGTGAAAAAATGTGGCAAAAACCATAAAAATACCGAATATCGGGAGGTACTGTTATATGGGGGCTATACCAAAACATGGACCCATACATGCAATGTTTCGCCACCGGAGCTGGAAACCATTATGACCCACAAATACCAATTTTTAGACAAATCCGTGAAAAAATGTGGCAAAAAAAAAACTAAAATACTGAATATCGGGAGGTACCTTTATATGGGGGCTATACCACAACGTGGACCTATACATGCAATGTTTTGCCACACGCTCAGGGACCCGTTATGACCTTCAAATACCAATTTTCAGACAAATCCGTGAAAAATGTGGCATAAATCATCAAAATACCGAATATCGGGAGGTACCGTTATATGGGGACTATACCAGAACGTGGACCGATATATCTGATTTTCAATACCAACCATCCTAGACACAATGCAAATAGCTCTGCTAAATTTTGGCGCTCTACGTTAAATAATGTGGGCTGTATCGTGATTTCAACAGACAGACGGACAGACAGACGGACAGACAGACAGACGGACATCGTTAAATCGACTTAGAATTTTATGCTGATTATGAATATATATACTTTATGGGTTCTAAGACGAATATTTAAGGATGTTACAAACGGAATGACAAAGTTAATATACCCTCCTTTCCAAGGTGGAGGGTATAAAAATGCGAAATAAGCATCAAATTCTTTTCAAATTTAACACACCTCATTATTGATATCAACACATAATCTGGTATGAATATGGAATACTTATTCTGGTACCTCCCAAAAAAGGGTCAAATTTTTGAATAACCAAAACGCTTGTAAATGCGTAGTAAGCATCCGACCCTTTTTAACTTTCACCCATCCCGATATTTCTATTGACACAAGATCTGGTGAGAACCTAATAGATATCGGTCCCTTCTGGTATCTACGCCACAAAGGGTCACAATTTTCAATATTTATATCTCTTATAATTTGGCAATTTGAGATCTGATGTGAATATATACCATAGGCACACGAAATGTTTAAATTTTGATTAATTATTATCATAAACTTGGAAATAAATGTTAGATGCTCATGCCAACATTTGTTTTTAGTATTAGATAGAGTGGAATGCTTCAGTCACCATTATCTGGTACCTCACGCACATTTCCTAATTTTCCAAAAATTATAACATTTCTTACGTAAAATGAATGTAGTTGTCGATATAGACCAAATCTGGTACATTTATATCAGACTTAGGTCAGATGCGAAATGGGCACGATTGACAATAAACGAACAGTGGCTCAGGGTATACATACTTTTCAACTAGTTTTTAAACAATTAAAAAAAAATCAGTCGGTTTGTATATGCGATTAATTGTTTAACAAAATGTTTATATATTTTTTTTTGAGGTGGCACCAAAAGGAGTGGACCAATAAATTGAATATTTATATTAGATATATGATTGATAGAGATATTATTATAGCTATGGGAAGTTAGCAGAATGAGCCGATGAGCCATATATTCATACTAGATCTAATCAACGAAGTAAGAAGAAACATTGAATAATTATTCTCAATTTAATATACTATTTAAAATGTCGATCCATTGTGGGTGAGGTACCGGAAGGAGACGTTGAGACGTAGCAAGCTTTGGTCAAATCGCTTACTCTGTAAGGTTGTAAGTATGAATGAATGAGTACAAAGGAATATTTGCAGATAAAATAAGGTTGGCTATTTACAACAAAGGTGGCTTATAAAGCTTGAGCTCTTTGCGCTTTCCGTTGTGTGTAGATAAAAATTATTCTCTTTCGTCTCCAATTTCATACAAGATCTAATGATAATATTGATCGAAGATGGTATCAATCCAAACTTAATTCGATTTGAGATAACAAATGACCAACGGATTTTCGGATGATGCACATGATGTGACTATGTTTGCATCTACGCGAAATAAACAACCCTTTACCATGTGGTAAAGAAATCTGTTATAAATAAAAGTAAATTATTGTTGTTGCGTAGTAAGCGAGTTTAAACGTTCTTCTTTGAATACATTCCGTGCAATTTTTAAACGTACGGCTTCAGATTTATGTACTGTTGTAAATGTCAACACATCTCCGCCACATCTCAGAAATAATTATTTTATGGTTCACTTTCATTTTTTACCCGCGAACGTTGATTAAAAAAAAACAAAAAACTACAGTAATAAATGCTCAGCTTTTTCACTTTTTCGAAATCACCAAAAATGTTATTATTTTTTAATGAATAACATTATTTGGCTTCTAACAACATTTTCAATTTGAAAAGTATTGGAACTCACCGTTTTTGTTGATACAAGTTGTCCAAGTTCGGTGCGCCTCTCCTTCCACACATTTCCGACAGATACAAAGGGACTGCAGAGTCTCAGCTTTTCCACTTCGGAAGATGTCTGAAACAATAATAGTAAGATAGACTCTATGGCCAATCAAAATGAAAGCATTTCACGTTTTAATATTCCAAGAAAAGCTAAAACATAAATGCAGATGAACTTCTCTACAACGAATTACAATTTAAAATTCAACTTCTTGAGACATTTCCACATATTTTAGACTCTCTAAACGAATAAATATTATCAAATAAGAATCTACATTATATGGTTGGTCTTCAATTATGACATAGGGTTAAGAAAATTTTAAAAAATTATAGTATCGGGATTTAATACTCGAGGGAAATACATATTTGCCACTAAAATCGATTGGAGAACACAGCAAAAGTCTTGAAAACACCAATTTTCCGATACCAACTTTGAAACAATTATATGGTAAAAATGCGTCTGAAACCAACAAACTACCAAATATGGGGATGTACCGTTCTATTGGGTTTATGTGGAAACGTGTGCCTATATAAATAATGCCTGCCACTGGAATTACGATCTCTAAATATCAAATTGTAAGCAATTCCGTTAGAAAGTTCGAGTTACACAAAAACATAGACCTACATTGGCCTGCTTCCTACAAAATACACACACTTATGTGAGTTACAAACTTAAGATGCCCTCCGTAATATTGTGTGGGGTATAAAAATAGTTTATGCAAATATTACATCTCTGTTCGAATATAAGTATATTCGGGGCTTAAATGTTAGCCTATGTAGAGGATACAAAGTCTCAAAAATTTGTACAGCAAATACCTGTATCTCTGGAAAAATATCGCTCAAAATATTTCGTAAATAAGTAGTAGTTAGAGTATCTTTGCTTCACTAAACCGCGGAAGGTGCGAGTAAGAATAGAAAAAAGAGGTGAATGTTTGCTCCAGGTTCTCATAGGGCCATTTGAGGATAAACTTACCCACAATGAAGATTCGTTATCTCGAAAACTGTTGAACTTGGATTTAAGTATCGATGATGCCAATTTTGGGTCGAGTATAAATAATTTCGGGCTGCGAGCTGAAAATACTCCAACGTAGCTTTGCTTGTCTTTGTATTGCCTAAATTGTTTTGAATGTAAGTTACAAATGATCTTAACAAACAGACAAGGTCTTACAGGTATATTTGATGCATTTCCTCAACTAAATTGCAATCACCGTTCAATGTTCTCGGAAACGAGCCTTTCAGAATTGACGGAATTGGGCCAGGGACGTCTCGACTAGTCCAAAAGTGGAAATTCCATGTCAGGTATAAATAGGCAATCAAGCATGTACAAGTCAACAACACCAAAATTATTAACAGCCACATCGTTGTTTTGAAACAGCACTGACAGATTTAAGTTCTGAAAATGAATGATTACAATGACTGCGAAATTGCTTTATTCGGAGGCAGCGACACTGATAAGCAGAATACGAAAATACCCACAGTCGAGATCATTTTTCGTTTCCAGAAAAAAACGCCTAAGTCTAAATAATATAATATGTGTACTACGTGCTGGCGTCTTTCATAGCAACAAAGATGACATAATACATATCTTGGTGGCAACTAAAAATCTTTGAATTGCTGATCTTCTCAAATAGTACCAAATCAAAAGCCATTTTTTGCGGAAAGGACAGAAGTTCTTTGTCTTCAAAATTGTTTAGAAGTTCAGAGAAATGAATACAGTTTAAAGACATAAAAGCATAGACAAATGCACTAGTGTTCGCCGCCTTACGCTGCTGTGGCAACAAACGTCACGTAATTTGTTTAGAATAGGTGAGGTAGAGTCTTCACACTACCAATGCATACATTGTGGGAATTGTTGTAAGGCCACACAGCAAATAATATTGCTATTAACCCAGGGTATAAGAATGTAAGTTAACAGCAAGTGTGCATGTACATGTACAACGTCATCGACACATGGGCAAAAAAGTAAACAAGCAAGAGCCAGCTGCTTCGTCAGCGAAAGGTCCACCTTTTAGATTCGTTCCGACACTTTGTGTTAGCCATTTTTACTACTCAAAATGCACAATTTGTCCAGTTTGATAAATTTTTAAATCGAAACTTCATGCATCGTACAAAATTTTTAAACTTTCAAAGTTTTGTACATGATTTACTGGCCCAGTCCGCGTTGGTGGCCCATATTTTTTTTAATGTTCAATGCATACATTTAAGAACATAATATTCTCCAAAACTATCTCATATAAGTTCTCTGTTTGAAAAAGCTAAATATTTGCTAAAAATGTTGTTGCAGTCAATGTCGCAAATTACCGCTTTTCGTTGTTAAATATTTTGTGACGTTTTCCTCGTTTGGTGAGTTATTGCTGTAGTCTTGGCAACCAATTGTTTAAGGGTCACAATGGTTATGGTAGATGAAGCAAAATTTCCATATACACCTGTATTATTCCTTTTTATTTTCTTTTCTTTTCTTTCTTTCCTTTTTATTTTTATTTTCTAATAATCATTTTGTACACAATAATATTTTCGGTATTTTGGAGTTTTCATCCACAAAGTCGGAAGTTATTTCGAACATGGCATTAACTTGAAACTTAGTAACCTAATTAATGGAAAAAGTATATCTATCCAGAATAATGTGTCCTCGTTTTATAACAGTCCCCATGTAACAGCTCAATTATTCGTGTTGTAAAGTAAATTTTGAATTCGATTTTGTCAATTTTCTAAATATTCGATAGGTACTCAATTACTCATTGGGTGGAAGATTGACTTCTCTGTAAAAAAATCTATACTTTGCTACAAAATGTTAGGTTGCAGCTGTAGTTGATCTACGATTTGCCAGTTTTAATCGTTTAAGATAATTTTGTTTTGTATATTTTAAAGGTTCCAGTCACATCTTATGTTAACGATTTGAACGAATTTTCAGTTTGTAATGTTTTGTTGACCTTGCTGAAAGGTAGTTAGTTCTGTCTATGGAGAGGTCGGGCTGCCAAACATAACTCCTCTTTCTTTCTCCTCCGCCATAAAATGGGTTTATTTTATTTTGTCATCCCCTTTTTATGATTTGCGAAAAGCTTGCCATATCTCTGGAAAAATGCATTTATTTTAAAGGAAAGATGTTTAAATGAAAACCCAACAATGTGAAATTTATCCTTTACTTTTCCTAAAGTAAGGGATATTCATCTAATACAGATAAAAACATTGGCTGAGTGTATAAAATCAAAATTATATATTAGAAGTATTTATCGGGGTTTTTCGGTCAGATTATTATACTCTCAGCCATATGGCTAGAGAGGGTACACATTTGATACAGACAAAACGTGCCTCGTCGAAATAACGGTTTTAGACCCTAGGTCTCTATGGACCGAATTCGTTTCAGGACATTTGGAGTCGATGTCCGTCTGTCTGGCTGGTGCGCACGATAACTCTTGAAGGGAGTACCCGATTTGGACCAAACTTAGTACATCGTAATATTATTATTAAACTTATATCGAGCTCAGAGATGGACAATATCGGTCCACTTCTTCTGGTATCTCCACCACAAAAGGTCTAAATTTTCAAAAAAAAGTTAAAGAGCTTTGCTGACAGATTGAAACCGTTATTTCAACTAGGCATGTTTTGTCCGCATTAAATTTTATATACCCTCTCTAGCCATATGACTGTGGTTATAAAAAAATCCTGCACAGAAAGAGAAAGGATAATCCGATTTTACTTCAACTTTACAAGTCTTAATATTTGCATTAGTGCTAGGTCGGGTGCGAAAATGGACAATATTGGTCCATTCCATCAAGCATCTCCTCCACAAAGTTTAGATAGTTATAACTCTTATGAAATGTGATGTAAGAGTCCGACAATTACACACATTACAATACTTTCATTAACATAAGGTCTGATTTGATGATGGAATGTATCGGTCCACTCCTTTTGGTACTTCCCCCACAAAGGGTCAAAATTTTGAATATACATGGTACTTCCCCCACAAAGGGTCAAAATTTTGAATATACATGATGCTCACATAACGCGAGATTAACATCCGATCCCATTCAAACTTGCCACATCTCAATATTTCTATCAACACTAGATCTGTTACGAAGCTGTTAGAGATCGGACCATTCCCTTTGGTTCCTCCCCCACATAGGATTCAAGGTTAAAAAAACGCTATAAGATAGCGAAATAAGCATCCAACTCTCTTCAAATTTCACACATGCTATCACAAGATCTTTTGTGAAGATGATACTGCGATACTTTTATCTGTTGTAACTTGCTATACCTATATATTTCTCTCAACCAGACACCTGAGATTAAAATAGAATTTATGATTTCGCATAAAATTTAATATAAATATTCGATTTTCTTGTAATTTTGCCATACCCATATTTTTATCAGTATTAGACGAAGTATGAAATACTACGGTCCACTATATCTGGTATTTCAGTAGTTTATATAGTTCAAACATGGCACGTCGCAATATTTCTATCATATTTATTCATAGAGGGTCAATCGTTTGAATAATAACTATAAAAATAACAGAAGTCAAAAAACATTTAATTATCCGAACATTGCTGAGGGTATACATCTGTTGGCACAGCCGACTGATACTTTTTAACTAGTTTTTGAAATAAAAATAAGAATTTATTTCATTTTTGCTCGACGTTTCGTTGGCTTTCTTCCATTATTATCAAGAGCTTATTAATTTGAAATTTTTAATTATGTTCATAATTATCTATTATTCGTATTTTTAACTAAAATCCACGGACATGTAAATAATGCAATAAAAAAATAATAAAATAATTAAATCACAGTTAAACTTAAGTCAATGATGTCACCGAACCGTTTATACATAATCGCTATTGAATATATATTTTCTTAGAAAAATATCTGGGCTAACATATGCCAGTTTCTCTTATATAGCAAGCATTTAGCATTTTTTAAAACCAACGAAGACCAGGGATGGCAAATCAAACCTTGCAAAAGTACTAAATTGTACCTTACCTTCGTACCAAACAGTTCATCATGGTAGCATAAATTTTTATGTATAGGCCACCACTTCGTATTTTGGTGATAGTAACTACAGAGGCCAATTAAATAAGG